TTCATGTATATTTGTACACGTGTCTTATTACCTAAAAGTTTTTTAAATTTTTTTTTTTTTTTTTTTTTTTTTTTGGTTTTGATTTGATTTTTCGACAATGTTTGATACTGACATGAAGGATGTCGCTTGGCGCTGATGTTCCAAGATGATTTTCCGCAAGCACTCGAAAGTGGTAGGTAGTCGCGGGTTTTAGGGACGATACCAGAGCGACCGTGCTGTCTCCGGCTACCAGCTTCTGCGTGTTGTGCTCATGCCACACGTCTTTCCAGCAAAATGCAACAACGCTTAGAAGGATGCAGTACTCGAACTCTTTTTTTTTTTTTTTTTTTGTTTTGTTTTTTAGGTGCGAGTCTCGCGAGGCGCGGGTAATGGCGAATCTCTTTCTCTTTCTCTCTTCTCTTTCTACCCGCAAATCCCCGGACGTTTTAACGCGCAATTAACTTACATATAGGCGCGCGCCGGGTGGCGGGCAAATTCACCATCACGTCGGCCCGTTAGTCCGAAGGGTTCATATACGGGCTTAATAGTTTGCAGTCGGTTCGCGAAAGATGGATTGTGCCGCGACGAGCGAGAGAAACAAATCGATCAAAGCAAATGACGTTTTAATGGAGGACGAAAGTTTCTCTCCGCGAGAGCTTCTTCACCACCACCGTCAAAACTATTATTTGCTCTTGAATAGATACGCCGTGTCCGAATATATGATCAGCGCGCGCGCTGATTCGGCTCGAAGAATTAACTTCGAAACAATTGCCGGGTGGAGGGCGGCGTGCCCCGCAAACGCGACCTTGAATGCAGATCATCTCTGGTTTTAATTTGTAATGAAGGAGCGCGACTACTCGAACGCGGCATGAATATGCAGATCATTGGCGATAATTCATCCCCCGCGATGTATTTTGATGGTAATTACACGTTCGCGGGAAAGAGCGATTATGTGAGAAAACGCCGCCCTCCGCCTTCTCTCTCTCTCTCCCGTTTTCGCGAAAATACATATATCGTGTATCGTTTTGGCGAGGGTCCACGGAAATCTCGATCCTCGCGAGACTCGATTTTGGTTAAGGACGATAATAATTCTCGACGGTGCTTGCCTCAAGAACATGTTTTATGCGCGTTAACACCACGACGCTTCCCGTGCCCCTTCGTGCGTTAAGTTCGATAATTTAACACCCGGGTGCGGGGGAGACTCTCCATCTCTCTCACTCCCTCTTCCCGAGTCGATTAGGCGTAAATGAGGACATCCAAAGTTAACGAGCGGCCAGGGCAAGGGGCGGTTTCAAAGAGAAGTTTGTGGCATGAAAATAGAGTGAGCGAAAGGAGAAGCGGGAAGGGGAAAAGATGCGCCGGTGTAGTCGAGGAGGAGGAGGAGGAGGAGGAGGTGGTGGTGGTGGTGGTGGTGTAAAACAAAGACGGAGAAGCGCGGGAAGATTTCGCAAACGACTTTACAGAAAACTTTGACTTGGCTGTCGTAATGAAAACCGCCAACCTCGGAGAAATCTCGCGTATATATATAATATATATAAATATATATATATATAAATATATATATATATATATATATATATATATATATATGTATATAACACTTACACACTTACATACATGCCTTTACATACGAACGCTTCTCTCGCGCAGAAAATAAAGAGACACTTCATTTGGACGTTTTCATCAAAGAGCGCTTAACAATGCAACTCGCGCGCGCGCGCGCGCGATGCTGATTGCAATTTAATAACATTAATTCCATTAAATCCAATTAAAATATAATCCGTCCAATTAAAATGTGAAATTTAATAAACATAAAAAAATATATACGTCAGGAGAAGATCGAGCGCGCTCGGTTTTGTGTGTTGAGAACAACGCGATGTAACAAATGACGGTCGGTGAAAACGAATTGATCAACAAAGAGAGAAGCGAAAATTGCGCGCAAGCGCATAAACGCGCTCAAACACGCGGAAGAACATCAAAGAATTAGGGAATTGGCCCCGCGGTCGCGTATATTACACGGGTATACGAGTCGTTAACGAATTCGCGGTGTGTTGCGTTACACGAAATCAACTCGACACGAGTTTACAAATGGGGGGTGAGAGAGAGAGAGAGGGAAAGAGCGAGACACAATGTAATTATCATTGCTCTTGACAGCGGCGGCTCATGCGACAGACTGGCGCATCGCGTTGCGTTTATGCCCGTCGGATGTGTGTGCATCTTGAAGTGACGTTACAAAACAGCGTGTTACGAGAGAAAACAGTCAGCCCGTATTTGCCAGAGTTGCTCCGTAAAATAAAACGTTAATAGGACACAAAGTATATTTTTTTTCTAATACGTGTGTGTGTGTGTATAAAAACTCATTAGCGCACACATAAAGGATATGAATCCGATATATATTCGCGTTTTATCGTCGCGGATACAAAGTTTTTTGATCGTCCCGATACGAAAGTACGTTATTTACATTTCTGTTTGATTGTTATTTAATCTACGTGTGACAGTTTAACGGATTTAGAGCGTATTTCAGAGAGCGAATTGTTTGCGCAACTCTAATAACAATATCGACACTTCGATAAAACTTTTTTTTTTTTGTTCGCGAAAACGATAGTTTCGCATTCCTTCGCGTTCCGTGTTTCTCTCCCTCTCTCTTTCTCTCTCTTTTATTCAGAAAGCTGCTATTTTGAATAATTACGAAGAAGTTGTTATATTGCGGGCGCACACATTCCGCGCGATTGAGTTATTACTTACTAATGAGATACGTATTATATGTTGTCGCGTTAATAGAATTTCGATCGTTTCGACATGCGTTCGTTCAAACATACACCGGCTGACGGCGATCGGAGAAGGAAGAGGAGAAGGAAAATAGGAGAAAGGTCCGCTGGTGGTATAAAAGCCATGAAGTAAATTTCAAAATAAATCCTAAACGAAATAATGGAACGGGACGCGCGCGCGGAAGGAAAGGAGAGAGTATGAGGCTATGTCGAGAGGATAAGTGATTAATGACTCCCGCGGTGGTGAAAACCGACGGCGGTTATTTCGCGAAATAACGCGTCGCGGCAACCGCAGAAGACGTCGCGGTGTTAACTCGAAAAACGCGCGCGCGTGTTTTTTTACGCGCCGCCCGTGTGATATTTCCGCGTGTAGATGATGAGAGGTGCCAAGCGCTCTGCGCTGCGTGTGTGAATACGCACGCAGCGCTTATATAATGACGATGGATCGAGAATGTAATGGGGTGCAGTACGCCGGTAATACGCTAACATCGACATTTCTTTCCTCCTTTTTCTCTCTCTCACTCTCTCTCTCTCTCTCTCTCTCTCTTTTTTTGCGCGAGCAAGCACGAAAAAAAATCTCCGATATTATTTCCACCGATACGTGTGCGCTGTAATAACGCGATATTTACTTCGGAGCCGGTTGCGATTTTTTTTTTTTTTTTTTTTTAATCGCGTATACCAACAAGTAAATACGGAAAATTATACAAGGATTTTTAATTTCCACCATCGCGCATCGAAATCGAACGAAATTAAAAGCGCGTAAATTGCAGGATTTCTTTTATTTTTGTGTGTGGTTTAATGCGGAAAATAAATCCCCGGTTAATAAAATTGAATAAAATCGAAGGATTTCTTACGCCCCCGTCCGTAATACGCCGTTGTACGCCGCGCGGCACGTCGCGAGAAGAAAAGGAAGACGAACATTTTCTCGCGCAATCCGCACACAGAATAATCTCATCTGTCACTTTATATTCGCGCTCCTCGTAAATAGATTGCGCGCGTAATGTAATCGAAAGTACAGACACTAAGACGTCCGCCTTCTCCCTAAAAAGCTAAGTCCGCAATTTTCTCTCTCAGGAAAAATATTATTATTGTCGTAAATACACATTAAACCAGATTGCGACAATTCGCATCGAAATTCCATTACGGATTTAATAGAATTTTAAAATGTCTCTCGAAAAGAATCTCCGCGTTGAATTAATAAAACATCAAATTCGTCGATTGTTGTTTTTTTTATTACCGACGATCGAAGAGTCAGCGGAGAAATGGAGAAAACAAATCCGCGTGGATTCTCTCGATCCGCGTGTACAAAACGGAAAAGAAGAAAGAGCGTGTGTGTGTGCGTGTGTGTGTGTGTGTATACCTTGCGCCTCCTTGTACTGCACGATGTAATTGATGATGGGCGAGGTGGCACGGCTCAGATCGGTCGTCGGTGAGGACCAGGTCAGCCGTATCGTCCGACTGCCCTGCTCGGTTACGCGCAGATTGCGTGGGAAATCGGGCGGCTCCTGCACGAGCAGGTGGATCGTCGCCTTGTCGTGACCGTAGGCGTTCGCGGCGACGCAGACGTAGTCGCCGCGGTCCATGTGGCTCGTCTGCATGATCCGCAGCTCCGTGGTAACACGTCCCGACGCGTCCGCCGTATTATCCACCGCGTATCTAAATAGGGAACGCGGCGAGGGTAGCGGTCGCTGTATCGATTAATCGATATACATACGCACGCAGAACGATCAAAGCGAACAGACCGACGCCGCAATTCCGAAACCGCGTTAAGATTCGCGTTCTGAGAAATCCGGCGACCTGATTTCCCGAGTATTGTTGACGCGTATAAACAAATTACATTCGAAGCTTGAATTTTAAAATGGATGTGATCAAAATAGAAAAGCTTCGCGGCTTGATTATTTCGCGGCTGACACGATGCTGCAGCGAATTTAATCACATTAAAAGTACACACGGACACAGGGCGAGACTCGAAGAGAGAAGAATATTTTATAGATTACTAATATTGTATATACACACTGTGGAGAGATTACTCCGGTACGACACACAACACAAAGCAGAAGGTTCGTTTCGCTATCAAAGCAATGACGCAGCAACGTCGTCGGCAGCGCGCGAATGCGCTTATACCGGAAAAGACCACTTTGCCTTTAGCGGGAAAAGTTAATATATTTCTCCGTGAAACTGACAATAATCCAGATTTGCTCTAAGCGAGTCAAATTTTCTTTGTTGTTTTATCAATTGACTTTGCGGTAGAAAATAATTGCAATTAAACTCCAAAAACACAAAAAAATCAAATTATTCAATTTGTTTTTTATTTTTTTTTTTTTTTTTTCTGCATTTGAAACACCGTGTCGACACGGTTTCCAAATACCATTTGTCTGTGCACTTATAATGGATTAAATCTGGAATTTTGCAAGTGATCCACTTTAAATATGAAACCGTGACTAAAAGTGGATTAAAAGCTCGGACTAAGCCTACTGTTTGTGCGATTTGTTTTAAATATGCGAAATATATTCTCTAGACCAAATTTTCTGGTAAAATAATCACATCAAAAGCTTTTCTGACTTTATCAAATTCAAATTTATATAACGGAGTGTTGAAATTGATAAAATCTTTCGAGAGAGTAAATCAAAAACGACGCACCGCGCGCGAGATGGAATTTGCGATTTTGCAAACTTAACGCGATAAGAGCGCGATCTCGCGCGCGTAAAAATAGATCTTTTCTCGATAATCGGATTTAACTCGTTTTTTCTTTTTTTGCTTCGAACATCCCGCGAATCGACAATGAAATAAAGTTATGTTGTCAAATTGAGACATGTGCGTAATTACATTTATAAAATCGCCGCGTCTATGTCAAACTATCTGTGGGGGCTTTTGTGCATAATTAATTTCTATACGAACCTAACGTCGTAATTAGGATCGATCTTGCTGTCACGAGCACGCCAGCTAAGATCAAGAGGCGAATCTCCTTCGGCCTCGCAGCGCAATATGACGCTCTCCCCACGTCGCACCGATTCCTGCCTCGTCCTCGCTGTCACCTGAGGGCCCGCTGTGACGAGAAGTTCTCATCAGGACGGCAACTCTTTCCAACAATATGCACAATAGACGACAAAAACAAAAAAAATATATCTCCAAGAGCAAAACGAGAGACGATAAAAACCACATTTTGTTCGCCGTCACATATTTCGCGCGCGCGCGTGTTTTTTGTGTAATTATATAAACAAGCGAATCAGTTTTGTTCAAATTGTACAGCCAATATACACGGCATATTCCGCCGCGAGTACGTACGCGTTTGTTTTTCCGATCAGAACGTAAAAAAAAAAAGATCAATTACCGACACGCATGATGTTATCCGGAATAAGCGTTCGTGTGCGCGGCGCGTGTGTGTATCCCTTTTCACAGAGAGGCTTTTCATCCAGTGATGCGAAGCAATTATCCAGTGACGAATATCATATATACAATGTCGATAAATTTTACCGCGCGATGGATACATCGCGCGCGCGCGCGGATACATATGTATAAAATATAATGATGATTCAAATTAACAAATTTATTAAATTCATAGCTGTCATGTTACGTATCACGTCGCGCGCACGTGCACGCACCCGTGGAATAACAATTTTAATTCATCCGCAGCTGTTTTCCCCCCCTCTTTTCTCGCGTTAATTTCTCCGAAGATAATTTCCCCGAAGTGACAAAAAAAAAAAAAAAAAAAAAAAAAAAAAAAAAAAAAAAAAAAACCCGCACGCGACCGACATTTTTTCCCCGAGACGTTTTCTCGCTACAAGAATCCACCTCCGTTCGATCATCCTCCGGATATACTATATTCCGAACCCGGAGCGCGTTGAGACTCTCTCTCTCGAATCCCGGATGCTGTTGGAGATATATATATATCTATATGTATGTATACCCTCTGCCCCATCCCCCGGATCTCCCAGTCTCGAGAGGATGCGTGAATATTTTACCGTGAACCGTTAGCCGAATGAGCTTGCTGAGGCCGGGCCCGATGCCGTTGCTCGCCTGGCACAGATAGAATCCGGCGTGATCTCGCGATACCCGCGGGATCATCAGGGATCCGTTCCTGGCCACCCCGGCGCCCTCCGTACCGCCGTATCCGAGCTCCCTGTAGTCGCCCGGCGTCTCACCTGCATGATACAAGTGGGATAACACGTCTCTCCGCGCGCTCGCATGCATACGCACGTATGCACCTATCGCGCGAGAAATTATTGCTCCGCGATCTATTGCGAGTTCGAGTCGCGCGCGAGTGTGAAATTAAACTTCGCGACGCTCGAGACGCGCAACTCTCTCTTTCTCTCGAGAAAGAAAGTTGTTCGCGACAAACGAAACAACCGGAGCGGAGTTTTTTTTTTTTTTTTAAGGATCGTTTTATCTCGGTGAAACGCGTGGCAGAATCCAATCGCAATCTCGGGTCGAGGTTTTATTTCAACGATCTTTTTAACTGGCAGAACTTTGAGAACGAACTGGCAAAGTGCGCGTTATTATTTTTTTTTTTTTTTTCATAGGGGTTTATTAAAAAAGAAGATTATTTCGCTTCTCAAAGACTCGAGGATGAGGAAACGTCTCTCCATCCTGATTCGCGCCTTATTACGCGAAACACGTGTAGGCACGGCGGCTTAAATAAATAACGCGGAAAAGTTTCTTAAATGCGGGAGAGAGACGTTTTATAAATGCAAGTTTGAATACATGAATGTTTTAAATGATTACGCGAGGCGTAATGTGCCGAGAGAGAGTTAAATGCGAGAGGGAAACGCGCGCGCGCGCTCGGGAACGCCTTTTCCTGCATACACTTTATTCGCTTATTCCATCTTTTCATAAATAAACGTCGAAAGGGAGACGGAAAATGTATCGAGGTGTGTGTATGTGTGTGTGTATATATATACATCTTGTCCCAACTTCAAACGGTAAAGATTTACTTCGCCGCGAGAGAGGGAGGGAGAGAGAGAGAGAGAGAGCGAAAGAAAACTCTTCGTCGGAGCGAAGGTAAACCGAACACTTTGAAAGCGCGGGGCTTTTGAGTAATCAGTCTTTTCGCGAGGGAGTCTTGCGCGAAATTGTGTTTTATCAAAACTTACGGCAGCTGCGCGCCGCGCCCGGAAACGTCCCATGTAAATTGCATTTATTCAATCTAGACAGTCCCGCCCGGTAACAACGCGATATTACGCCGAAGTCGTTAATAAGATCGCGTTATTCCGCGATCTACATTGTTCGCGTCTAATAAAAACGGTAGAGGCGGCAGCGATGCGCGGAATGTTCTCCTTCGATCCTCGCGCGTGTCTTCGTTTTTTTCTTTTTTCTTTTTTTTTTTTTTTTTTTCTCGTCCAACGCCGCGCACGACGGCGGATCAATGGTTTCCCGATGTCCTCTTTCCGATACGGCGTATGATGAATAACATAAATATCCGGCAGAAAAATTCGTATTTTTTTCTCTCTCTCTTTCTCTCTCTCCTTCGTTTAACCTGAAGATATAAATTCACGCGAGAAAAATTTCCGTGTATTAATAGTTGACGAGCGCGGAACGACGAAAAAGAGACCACTTATTATTAAATATAACGCGCGGTATGTGTACGCGGAATTATACACGTTTGCGGACGATATGATTGCGCGTCGTCGTCAAAACGTCGCGGACGGAGTGCGGTTGTCTCTGTTTGCCGTAGTTAATTAAAATCAACGAAAACTGCCCGGAACTTGATAACAATTTTATCACTTTGATGCTGTGGGTGTGAGCGCGCGCCCGTTTTTTTGTAACTCGACTCGTTGCTATACCACCGCCCATGGGAACAAAAGTACGATAGGAGGGGAAAGATGATTGGCCGCGGGGATGAAATCAGAATAAACGGCGAAAAATGCGAACGGTCGAAATCACGGTGAAAAAAAATTGAGAAAAGATGGAAGGAAAATGCCCCGGCGCGCTACATCAAATTCCCTCCCCTCCCCCCTCCCGTTCGCTTTCACGATCAGAGAAAAATGATGAGACTAATTATACGATTCCATCCGCAGCGCGCGGAGCTTATTTCTGACTACGACGTTCCGCGAGAATCTCGGCGATTCAGCGATTTATGACGGATTGCAGTTTCCGGCGCGCTTCTTTTTTCTCGATTCGGTGCGCTCTCGTCGTGACTTACTTAAAATGAAAATCACGCGATGTCTGTGCGTCCTGATTAAAATTCTCTCTCTCTTTCTTTTTCTCTCTCTCTCTCTCTCTCTCTCTCTCGGAACAAACGCGGTAAACTTATTGAAAATTTAGTCGGAATGAAATAGGAACAAGAGAGCCGCGAAATAACAGCTTCTATACACACAAGTATATTTCTTACACATCGACATTGCGATATTTATTTAGTCGTTTAGGATGAATTTTTACCTGGAAGAGATAAGAAATACTACAATAAAAGGTAAGAAAGAAAGGAAATGAAAACGACACCTTCTCGACTTACGAGATTGTACGTTTGTCAAGAGCAAGATCACGGGTGCACCGCTAAAAACATCCTCCCCTTTTTCTCGCGCTTCCGCACCGAGAGAACGTAATACGTTTCTCGTAACGGGAGAAAGGAAAGCATTCCTTGCATCCGGGATCTCGCTTCGCCTTTTTAAGAAAAGAGAGCGCCTGCGACTTACCGATAGATTGCTTCCAAGTCACAGTCGGAACGGGGAATCCTTCGGCCTGACAGGCGATGGAGACACCGTGACCTACAACCGCGTTCTGGTCGATAGGTTCCACGGTCCATCTCGGCGGTACTAAAAATACGAACCGATTGGCTTAAAATCCCACCTCGCCAGTCAGTCACTCGAATTTCGTATATATATCCGCCAGAGTCTTACTCGCCCCGTTTCCGTCGCCGTTTCATCAATTCCCGGGTTCAACTCGGTCACGAGAAGGACAACCAAATGTTACACCATCCACCCACTTCTTCGCGGTATTTGTTACGAACTCATTTCCGATTATACATTTTTCAAAAAAAAAAAAAAACTAATCGATAAGAAAAGTTCTATATTCTCAGAATCGCGTTAAATCGCATTAAATCACTCGAAAAAAAAAACATTTGACACGTTCTCTCGAAAGATAAGCAATGTATAATCGAATGTCACAGTGTGTACACAAAGTTATCAATTTCTCTTAACTTTGTTTTTTTTTCGGAATAGTGAGAATATAATTTATTCGGTGGTGGCTTGCGTTATATTCGAGAGATATCATATGTAAAACTGTCGAGAGCAGTATCGATTTTCGTTACATAGCCGGATTTTATCTGTTATCATTCCGGTCTAAAAATACACGATGTGACAGGTTATTTAAGTTCGAACGGTCGTATTATAGAGCTGTGGATACTGCGGCGCGCATTGTTTCGAAAATCGATCGGCGTTTCGTTGCGACGATAATTTGAACCGCGACGAAACGCCAGCGACGGACAATGGCGGTTTGAATTAACGTGTTTTTTCTTTTCTTTTTTTTTTTTTTGTTACTAAGTGTATTTAAGTGTATTTAAGAATAATTAATGTGTAAACGCATGCGGTTTTCTTTTTCTGTGTTTTCGTTTTCACCTAGAATTTTCATACTTACGGTCGGTCGCTGAAAATAAATTGTAAAACACAGACACGTTAATATAATGTAACAATGTTATTACACTACAGAAACCCACGAAGACTACGACTAAGTTACTTGAATTGACGATGTTATGTATAAATGTTTATAAATATGAAAAATAAATGAGAATTTTTTTCTCTCTACACCTCTCTCTCTCTCTCTCTCTCTCTCTCTCTCTCTCTCTTTCTACTTATAATTTTATAAAAATCCACAAGCAACGTGAAATATACGTCAAGAAAAATTATAATCAGACAGAACGCGCGTGTTGAAAAACAAAAAACAAAACGCAACATGCGTGTGTTCAACAAATTTAAGAGAAAACAAAATGATGACCGAGTCTAACCGAACGGTCTAAAAATTATAGGAAGAAAGACCGCAGAAAGACAACAAAATAACGTAAACTTGTCTGTGGATTGTAGTATTGTAAAAATTGAACTATGTATAAATATGTGTATATATATATATATATATATATATATATACATATATATATATATATGTCGAGAAAGTAATAATGTATACACAGAAATGTATATAAGTATAATACGAGATATAGATGAAACGTAATATCATGCAAAAATGCAAAGTTGGTCATTATCATAAGAAAAACGTAACAACGCAAGCACCATTCCGAGTAAATAGAGCTGTAATATATAAAGAAGATGGATTGTATATAATATATAAAAATGCTCCCAGATACAACAAACACAACGAACAAACGCAAACGTGATATACCGTGACACAATGAATGTACCGTAATGATACCAAAGAACTAGAAAAAAAAAAAATAAAAAACAAGAGACACGTAGTGTACGAGAAAGGAAAACAAAAATATCACTTTTTTTTTACATTCTTCCCATCGTCATTCCAAGTCGTTCTCGCACAAAAACAAAAAAGACAAGTAAATAGAGGAAAAGGATGAAGGGAAAAAGAGAGGTTCGTATAATTAGAAAACAGGGCGAAACTCTCTACGCGAATGCATGCTTATGCACACACCGTGTCAAATAGACAATCGCTGCATTACATTAGCACATTAGTCTCTCGAATATAATAATATCAAAAAACTCGCTACGAGAAATACTCTCTATCTAAAGTGGTACCACAATAAAAAAAAACACACATTCGCGAAAACGTCTCCTTAAAAAAAAAAACAAAAACAAAAACAAAAAGAGGCCGAGAATACACGTGAGATACTTTTCTACGTTTCTCTCAGAGGTGGAAATCTCGATTTCTTCTCGGAGGATCGTCTCTCTCGGCGACGCTGGAGATAAAAAAAAAAAAAAAACACGACAAGAAAATCAGTATATTTTATTATCATAGGCCTTACCGAGAGGTCGAATTACACTTCGGGGAGAAGATTGTATGTGTGTGTTTTGTGCGTATCTTCCCCTCTACGTGACAATTCAACAAAGAGAATCGTCCTCCGCCGGCCGCAGCAACCACGATCGTGTGAAAATAAAATTATATATTTTCTCCCCTACCCTTCGCTATGCGTAACGTGTGAGACGAGGCATGCAGAGAGAAGTGAAGTCGGCGATACGTCTCTGTCGTATAATTTGTTTTTTAAACACAATAATAGTCACGTGTGTCCAATTCCTTTCATTTCTTCTTGCCTTGCGCGTGTGTCACGCGCGCATTCTCAATGCCGTGAGGTTCGAACGAAAATATTTTTCTGCCCCACCAAAAAAGCCATCTTTGAGAGGAGATGAAACGAAAGAAAAACCGGGAAATATGGCGGCACCGTGCCAGGTATTGCTTCTCGAGGAGAGAGCAAATGTAATTTCGGATCGGGCTTATCGATCTTGTCCTTACTAGCGCGACGTAACTTCTTTATATATATATACATATATATATATAACGTAGGGGAAAGCATTTTCGCTTTTACGAGGAAAAATTAATTGATTGGGATTTGATTTTTCGCCAAATTAGTCTCCTTTGATTCGATCACACGGAACGAGAGAATAAAAACGGAATTCAACCACTTGCGTGACGTCGAGACAGATCGGATCGGACTAAAGCTAGTGTGTCATTGACTTATTGGTCTACGAAAGAACATTTTCGACCCGACAAAGAGGATCGGAGGAGGGATGTAAGCAGCGCTCTCGAACGTGAAGTAGTGTACGTAACGCGCTCACGCGACCTTAGCGACAACACGACAAATATTAGCGCACGTAAGACGGGCACGTTTGCTCTGAAAAATGCAAAACACTTATTATATTTACGATCGCGCAACGCACAAAACGACGACACAAAAGGCGCGCCCCGTAAAACCGGAAAATTGAAAGATCCAGTATTCCACGATGAACACAAAAGCGGACATGAAAGAGCCGCGCGCGGGCGGCGCGCTTTCCATTTGGCAGACGAAGCAAATATTGCGAAGGTCCGTGCTCTTTAATACGCGCTGCAGCAGTAGTGTATTTTCCCGGAAATATGTGTAGAGGAGTAATAACTCACACAGAAAATACAACTCTCTATTGCGTCGCGGGAACCAAAGCGATTCTTCGTTTACACTCGTTATTATTTCGTTTCGTTACATACATTCAAAAGGAAAAGAATTAATTTAAACTTTTTTTTAATTTTCATTTTTTTTTTTTTTTTTTTTTATCTCTCCTACGTATTTCGCGCGTATTGTTAGTTAACAATAACGGCATCGACGAGAAGAAAAGATTATCAAAGTTTCGCGCGCATATATTGTTGTAACCAAGTTTTTCTCTCTTCAACGTGCTCAAAACGTAATGTATATATATATATATATATATATATATATAAGATCCAATTACGATTAATACTTCTTTGACGTTTTCATTCTTGAAAAATCGCTTTGTTCATTCGTCTTCCAATTTATTATGTGCTCGCGGATCTTTCGCCGACTTTGCGAGAAGGTTAAAGGATCGGGTGCTTTGAGGGAAAATTCCTTTTGCAGCGCAAGCACGCGCGCGACGCGCGGGTCGCCGGAAAATCTTTAATGGCTTTCAGATGTCGAAAAACCTGGCCATCTTGTCTTGTATTTTATATGCATTAGGAACGGCGGCGGCCGCTGCCATTACGCAACAAAACGATCCAAAGTCTTTACAAGCGTGCGGAATCTTTTTGATATATATTTCTTTTCATAGTTTATTCGACCGCGGAATATGAATTAGAAGTGGAAAAATGAGTAAAACACACTATTTCCCTCCTCCCCTCCCGTCGTTCTCACAAAGCGCGTATCGGAATTGTGATTCGTTACGCGCTCTTTATAAGAAATCCATTCTCGAATTCTCTCAGAACTGTTTTGAAATAGTACAATTGAATTTTTGATTATTTTTTCGATTTTCCAGAGACGTTTTTAGCGCGCGCGCAACTGAAGAATATGACGTACTTTGAAACAAAAATCGCTTATTTTATTTTTCCGTGTTCTAAAAAGTTCAGCGATATCTTAATCGATTTTTCTCATAGAATATTCGCGTTCGCTCTTTGACTATTTGAAAAGAGTATATAAATAGCCTTTTTCTCCAGACTAATTATATAATAAATATTAAATTCTTTCGTTGCAAATTGAAATTCTCGCAAAATCTCGACATTCACGCGCGTAATTTTTAAGAACTTGAAGAGATTCTTACAAAAATATTTTTCTTTTTTTTTTAAACTCTCATATATATTCTTCCCGCGCGAGAGAGAAGTATGACATTTCGAAAATCATTTATTACCTCTCGCCGGATCGGAGATGAAACTTTTCTTCAGAAATGACGACTCGGGGTTTCGGATTGGTGAAAAATCAGACGCTGAACGTGTAAGATTACGATCTTTAGGAGACTTTCGTATCACGCATGACTTCTCGAGGGACGTCATCAACGACTCGGAAAAGCTCGCTTTAGCGACCGGAAGACACGTGCGGATTGGATAGAAAAAAAAAAGGAAAGAAAACCGAATAAACCCCATGTGTGCTCGACGTTTCTCTCTTTCTCTTTTTTTCTCTCTCTCTCTCTCTCTCTCTCTCTTCATACTAGTATCATACACATCCTTGATTACCTGTACACATACAACACACCTTGTGCGTGAGAAATTGGGACGAAGGAAAGAGAGAGAAAGAGAGAGAGAGAGAGAAAAGAAAAAAAGGAAACAGGTAAAAAGAAACAGAGAGGAAAGAACATGAAAGAGAAAAGGAGAAGAAGAAAAGAAACAGAGATAAAAGATACAGAAAAGTGAGAAGAAAGACAGAAGGAAGAAGAGTGGCCGGGAGCAAGAAGATGATGGCGATAAGACGGATAAAATGGTCGTGTCATATTTTGCGGACGCATTATGTACACAGTTTTCTTACGACTACCATGTCAGGTTTCTCGGGACACCAACCAGCGACTGAGAGGCTGGTCGAGTGCTCGGCCAAGCCAGCGACGTTGCTGATCTGGCACGTGTAGTTGCCGCTGTGGCTAGCGCTGACGCTATATATCGTCAGGATGCTGGAAAACGGCGGATAGTCGCTTATCCGTATGCCGTTGCTGGTCTCGACGGTAGTAGCGGCGGCGGCGGCGGCGGCGGTCTGGACCGACGACACCGATGTACCACCGTCGCTCGGTCGTCTGACCTGAATCGGTTTCTCGTCCATCAACCACGTGATGTTGAACGGCTGGTCGCCCTGGCTCGTCGTACACATAAGCTGTGTCCGCATCCCCTCCATCACACCGGTTCCGAAATAAAACGGCGAGATCCGCGGCGGAACTACAAACGTTACGTTGTAAACATGATAATGGGAGTGTGTGATATGTGCACCCTTTTTTGCTGGAGCCCTTGCTAGAGCTGGCATATTTACCGCGCGCACCTAAAAAGCGCGTTATCAATCGTAAATTCGCTTCTTTTTCTCTCTCTCTCTCTCACACACTTTCTCTCTTTCTCTCTCTCTCTCTCTCTCTCTCTCACGAAATATAATTCTCTCGCGATATTTATAAATCCGTGAAAAACAGATGTAAACCTAACGTAACGTAAATCGCGGAAATCATATGTCCGCGTTGCTCGTCCGTATTCTCGTCGGTTAATATTTTATATTTTGTTAACGCGGGTAACGTTCCATGTATATATGTATATGTACTACATACATATCAAACACAAAGTCGGGAGAACAAAGTTTCACGCGGATACGCACGTTACCTGCGCCTCGGCGCGTTGTGTCTATTTTTCCGGCTGTTGGACGCGCGTGCGTACATATATATATATGTGTGTGTGTGTGTGTGTGTGTATACATATACGAGAAATTCGCAGCGGAATCACGGGAAACTCGATAACCGCCCTCCATTTGTTACGATCCATTTCGCCGCGTGATTTCCTCTCCCGTAGTCGCGACGCGCAGGAAGGACAGGTGCGCAACCAAAACGCAACACGGTCGTCCGCTCACTCACACGGTTTCTCGCGCTTCTCGCGCGAACGTGCGCGCGCGTCTCACTCACAGCGTGTGCGTGCGTGTGTGTGTGTGTACGCGCGCGCTCGCGAGGTTCGCGCGCGGAAAATTGTGGCTCGGCCATAAATATCGGGGAGGTACTATGCGCGCGCGTGTACGTTGTAACTCGGAAAATGAACATTTACGAGCGGGCATAACTGTTAATGTCGACCAATGTGTCTTTATGAGGAAGAGACTGGCCGGGTGATACAGTGGAAATAAGCTTGTCTCTTCATCTTCCCGCTCTCGTCGCGAGAAGAAAAGGAAATAAATGTTAATATAAACCGTACGTATACACAAACGTCAGAAACTCGCGAGACACCCGCTACTATCCTTCGAGAATAGATATGCGATAATGCGTGAAACTGAACGTCGCGCGAAGCTAAACGCGCGATATCCCGGCTTGACGAGATGCGCCATCACGATCGCTTGAACCGATATCAGACACCGGCGCGATACACACGTACACACACTTACACACACACTTACACACACACACACATGTACGCACATATCTTCCTCTCGCGAGATACACTCCGTTCTCAGTTTGCGTATCGCAGACTTACTTACCGGGCCCTATCGATAGTCAGGATTTCAATGAGAGACGCGAGACATCACCGATGGTTGTTCACACTGGCAGTTTCACAAATAAAGCGTTTAATTTCAATTCAAATTCCCTCTAATTCAATTTTTAATATTATATCAGTTAATATATTACTACTGTTATTGTGTCGTTACATAGCTACACGTTATTTTTCGGTTTTTTGAATTTATTAATTAATAATATAAACACGCGTAATTGCATCGTTTGTTAAAAAAATGCGTTTCGGAGATCTCTCGCGTTTTTTTTGTGGATGCTCCTCAAAATACAAATACCACTACAGTTCTCCATAATAATATCGTAACAATGTAATGATGATGATGTGAAAAACGATGGTATACACAAAATATACTTATGATATATATATATATACCTCGAGCTCTCGAACACATGATCATATTATATAAAAAAAAACTCTCTGCTACATTAATAAGATAGATATACATGACCTGGGTCATGAAACGCCCAAAAACGTGATATATCATACATAACACAATAATGAGTAACATATGTAATGTACGAGTTTCACATTCGTGAACAAAACAATAAAATAATATATATATAAAACGTAGAGAAAATTTGTATACGTCTCCTACGGGATCGTATGTGAAATGTCGTTAACACAGTGACTTTTCCGTGTGTGCGTGTGTGTACGTGTGTGTACGTGTGTTTGTATGTGTAAAGTACTAGAGTGTACAGTAGGAGAAATAGGAAAACGTGTGATATATATATATATATACTCAGTCAAGACATATTATATACGTGTGTTCTCTTTGAATATCAATGCTCGGACGATGCATGTACACACCTGTGTGCGAATGTATAAGAAAATCATTACGTATATATATAGTTAGTTTTACGGGTATATAAACTTTCACAGATCTCTACGTCGCGACATCGAGATTTGTTTCCTCTGTGGCGAACGAAAAATCTCTCTTCTCGCGCTGCGCGCGAGATTCCGCCGTGCGTTGTAGTCTCGTATCTCGATGTCGCGGACAGTAATATCTCGTGTCTAATGAGTACGTATAAACGGCCGAATGTGCCATGTGAACGCCCAAGTTTCTCTCATATTTATACATCTCTCTGTTTGTTTTTCTTTCTATATTTCCACTTTTTTTTTTGGTGTCTTTTTTCTTTATCTAAAATTCGTTCAGATATTTTTGTCGGCAAAATGTCAATTGATAGTCTTGTTAATTACGTTCTGAGAGAGGAGTCGGGGCGGGATCACATCGAGAGCGGGCCGTTTTTTTTTTCTTTTTTTTTTTTTTTTTTTTTTCATACAAACGTCAAATACGAGAGTCAAAGAACACATTGGCAAGAGCGTATACAGTACGTATACTACACACACACAGGTATAAACGTTAGTGGTTGCAGGAAAATTCGATCAAAGCGTGCATATTCGGCGTGCAAAGAGTAACGGCGTGCAGGACGAGAAAGAGTGAAAGAAAGAGAGAACGATTCAAAAATCGAAAGTAATCCTGAAAGAAAGCTGGCAACACGCCGAATCGGTGATGTTTCTTTCATCTCTCTTTCTCTCTTCGTTCGAATAAAACATGTGCTTCTTTTTTTTTCTTTTTTTCTTTTTTCGTTTTTTTTCAATCCCCTTCCGAATCTTTTTCTTCTCTCAAATGTTCTTCTCTCTCGAAAAAGAAACGACCAAAAGAAAACACCAACGATGCAACGTGTTAACGTGCGTGCAATTTTTGGACTAGCGTGTAGCAACAAACGATCGCGTCGGATGATCTTGAATCTCTCTGGGGAATTAACGATCGAAGATCATCGACGAATCGGAAGAACAGTCGGCGCTCAGAACAGTCTCGTTCTCCCTCGCGCCGAAAGACGACGTCCCCTTTGCTTTTCTTGTGCGAAAATCACGCGATCACGACGCAGGTTAATTGACACCGAGACTCACTTCCGCGTGTGACACGCGGCAATTTTCTTTTCTCTCGAGAACTTCTTCTCCCGTGAGGCAAAACAAAATTGATTACGGCACGCATCTCGCGTAAAGTCGGACGCGCGCTGATTGATCGATCCGCGAGAGAGAGAGAAAGAGCGGAGCGGCTCTCTCGCCGAGACACAATCGCGACCGGTGTGTTTCCCTACGTGCCGATCAATCAGTTACTTTCCATTCGCGCCGCACCAGCCAACGAACTGGAAAATTGCCAGTCTGGTCCTATCACGACCCACGCCTTCGCTCGCGAATCTCAATGACAATCCGCCCACCCACCCATCTCTTAGCTCCTCCTGTCTTTCTCTCTTCGCCGACGCGATCTTATTCCGCAAGAGAGACGTGGCGCGAATCTCCTCCTTTCGTCTCGTCGGCGCGTCTACCCCGGACGTCGTCTTTGGCATCCCTGATGAGCGCCGACTTGGATGCTGTCCCGTGTTCCGGAATACGATGCTGCACTTTGGCGTCGAGACGCGTCCGACGATCGTGACGACGAGAAAGAAAGAGTCTAGAAAGAGTCTTTGAAGAAGAATAAAGAAAGAAAACACAGGCGAGAGAAGAAAACCGGAACGAGATGGGCGGGGAGGAAAAAAAAAGCAAGAAAGGGAGGAACACGAGCGCGCAGCGATCGCGAAGCAGCAACCGATTCCGGAAAGCAATCGGGACGAACAAACGGAGGCACCAACGGTTGTGCGTTTTACCGTTGACGTGAAGGAGTGCAGAATGAGCGACGGTTGCAGCGCCATTGGCCACGCGACAGGTGTACGTGCCATTGTGCGCGGGTGCGATCGTGCTAATGCTCAGGGCGCTGGTAAAAGCGTCATATTGCCGGATGGTAATGCTCTTTCTCTGGGACGAGGAGGACGCTTCGTCATGCCCGACGCCGACGGAGGCGGTCATGGTAGCAGGGGCCCCCCGTAGTAGCTCGGGGCCCCTCCTCTTAATCGTCGCGTCCCCAGCACCGGCCGGTTGCGGCCGACCGCGGCTGCCCGACTGCGGCGCATCCTGCGACGACGAAGACGACGACGGCAACGTCCTGACCGTCTCCTCGTCTATCGGGACGTTATCTTTGAGCCACGTGAACGTAAGCGGTAGGTCGCCGGTCACGACCACGCACTGTACGCTAGTACGGTCCCCTACGTTTAAATCGCGAGCAAAACTGAAAGGCGTGATTTTAGGTGGCACTGAAAAGAACAATACAGACAAGGTGGCATTCCATCAAAGCAGTTCAGATCACACTAGAGAATCGCGATGTAATTACGGAGAGAACAGTATGTGAGGGATAGAGGAGGGAGGGGGGGGGGGAAATATTGTGGGAATTTGATAAAATGAGATCGGCTTGTGTGCCGGAAGAAAGGTTGCACGCGGGTTGTACGGGGAGGAATAAACCGGGGGTCGTAAACCATCCCCGCCGCGCGTTTCCCGTGCCGCGCGCTGCCAGATATACACGCGCTCGTCTCTTCTTAAATGGGAAGCAATTTTTCAGCGGATGCGCCGATCCGCGAACAGCGCGCGACGGGGAGATCGCGGCGGGGGGGAGAAGCAACACACACCTCTCTCGTCCTCGATACGGCACACGTCGGGAAGCAGAAAAGCGGGCGAGAGATTCTCGACGAGAGAGGAGCGTGGAGATTAATCGATCGCCATCTCCCGTCGTGACTTCGACGTCTTGACGGCGGAAATCAAGACCGCGCGCATCAGCCTTTGGCGAGAGAGAGCGGCGAGAAAATACGCGGCGATCGGGGAAAATACCGCGCGTTATTGAATCTCTCGTCTATTTCGCTCGCTGATCGAAAAGTGACGTTCCAATTTCTGGTTTCGAAGTTCTCTCGCGGTTTAAACGGTGTATTAATCGTTTAATCAAAGCAATAAATAAAACAAACCCCTCGATCCTCCTCGCTGCCGCTTTGACGCAGATTTGACGTGTGCGATACCGTAAGACACATTTTTTCGGACACGTTGCTTCGTTAACTCTGTCAGATCGATTAGCGGGAGTGGGAGGTGGGTAAAGAGAAGAAGATAACGTGTGCAATATTTTAAACGGAATCGCGCGCCGATGACTCCCGACAGAACGTGTTCGGCTTATATACACGCCGACAATTCGCGCGTAACAAGCTTCCTCGTTTTATTTCAGAAATCAAACCGGACGTGTACAGCGCGTTGTTGCAAATAAAAAAAAACACGCATTTTAATTGAAAACCTCACTTTTCGCAATATTTTCTATATAGCTCACTCGCGCTGTTAATATATTTTTTGCCCCTGTTTTTTTGTTTTTCCCCCCTCGTCGAATTGTCGGCAGATGCGGAAACAGATTCTGGGAGTCACGACCGTTACGCGCGATTCGAAAGAGTGCGCGCGGGCTTCGACGTGGAAAGCCTAATTACGTCGAATATTTACCTGTGATGGAACTCTTATATACACACGATTTTTTTTTTTTTCTATCGCTCTCTACGGGGTATTACGAAAAATTCGATATAAATTGCGCCCGCGAACTGACGCGTCTCCGTAGTTGATATACGTGTAAACGTTCACGAAAGAAACGCTCTTAGTAAAGTAGTAAAAGTTCCGCGATCGAGGAAGACGCGTTTCTATGCGGTAATACCCCATAGATGTGCAACATCTGTGTACGCAAGTACGTCGCGTAGTCGGTCCTATGTACACATGACGTACGTTACGTGGCAGAGCTGGATTTTTATGTACATGAGTGGAGAACACGCGCGAGAGTACATAAAAATACATGGAAATAGAACAGAGCAGTTAGGCGAGCGCGTGCAAAGGAGGAAATGCTTGAGCGATGCAGTGAGGTGCTGTGCTCTGTGCATAGGTCATTTCCGGGCGCGTCTTCAGCGCACACACACGCGCGCGCGGGCACGCGTATACACACACGCGCGGATAAAAGTGTGTGTCTCCGGAAATCGCGCGCGCACCTCTCTCTCTCTCGCTTTGAAGAAAAATAAACTCGGGAGGAAAGAAAATCCGGAGACCTCTATTCTCCCCGCCCTCTTTCCTCTCGCCGGTTTCGCAAACCGGTGTGTTTGCGGAAATAAAGAGTAAAAAAACATATGAATATGTTATTTTGCCCATTTCAATCCTGTAGGTATATTAAAATAGTTGAGTATTTGCCGCGGAACAATTTAACACAATTTAATTAACATTTCGCGCGTACGTTTTTGAAGAATTTAATATTCGATATATAATATTGAAAATTAAGCGGAACCCCGGTCACGTAAACACGTGAAATAACTTTGTTCAGAGAATTGTACGCAATTTCCGGAGAGTACTGGTGTGTATATATATACATGTATACATTGTTTTTATATTATATATATATATATATATGTATATATATATGTATATATACATAGATACGCATGTGTGTATGCGCGCACGGCTTGCGTGGGTTTACATATCATAGAGAAAACACACAGAAAAGAGTCCGTCTCAAGAAGGATTCCAGTCGATTTCGAGGAGGGAAGAAGACTTTTCGTTACACAATCCAGGTCGGGAGCTGAAAAAACTGCACAGATTGCCTCACTGTAGAAAAACCTAAACAGTAACATTCTCCATCTTCCTCTTTTTTTCGATACGACGTATAATTGCTCTCTCGCGAAACAAAAACTAAAAAAAAAAAAAAAAACAAAACAAAACAAAAATGGTTAATCAAAACCAAAAACGAATCAATTGTCGATCTCCGCAATCGTGAAATATTTTTTTATGTGTATATATATATTATTTTTTAAAAATAGGTTAAACTATATATTTCCTCGAGAGGCACAAAAAAAAAATTTTTTTTTTTCGTCCGCAATTCCGGCATTCAATCGCGCGCGATCGATGAATCCGCAACGATTTTCGCGGAGCGAAAACACGCGACGCGTGTGTTTCGCGGGGATATAATGCGCAATGGGTATAAACCAAAGACTCGGTCGGATGTTGTTCCACGCTAATTAATCCCGGCCGACGTCAAACAACGCGCGCGCGCGCACCATATACGGTTTGCTTGATGAACCTAATAGAAACATTATGTAAAGATAAATTCGGCAGTGCGCATCAAACGCGCGCGCCGGAGAGAGCGCGCTGTTATACGTATAAACGGACTGCAATTAATACGCTGGAGCGAGGGACGATGCGCAATGGATAGTTAATACCCTTCGACAAAGGGAGGATACATATTAGCGTATACCCTGTGATATCCATAATCACGCGTTCTCCCCCTCCCCCTAATATATCGGAAATTGCAAACCGTTCCCCCACTCGTGTCCCCAATAATCCAGATAATATGTGCATTTTGCGAGCAAAGATTTCTCGTGAATGAATCTTCAATTCATCAGACACTCCGCGCGCGTTGATTAAAGAATCGTTGAAAATGATAAAAGCACGAAGACTCTGCGCGCGACGTTTTATGCGCATCCCTCTTTTTTTTCGCGTGACACAAAAAACATAACGAGTCGAGTGAAAAGTTGCGCCGGCTGTGCTAAATACTCGCGCACTTTGATTAGAATACGCGACAAATTACGCGACTGCGCATTGTGAAGAGAATAAATATGGTGTACAAATATAAAAAAAAAAAATCATAAAAAACGTCGCTCCTCTTTATGTAAAAAGTTACTCTGCAGAGAAGACATATATATATATTGTATTCTCTTTTTATTTCTGTGAAAAGCGAAGGGAGAGACGAGATCGTTTCTTTTTTTCTTTTCCACTTCCGCGGACAGTGCGCGCGTAACGATCTCCTCTTCGAACAACTAATTTCGCGAGAAATACTTCGAATGCCGCTCGTTGTAAATACACATCGCGGGTAAAATTATGCCGAAACTGTCGGCGCGCGCTGTGTTTAACACACTTACCTAGAACGCGCACTTCGACCGAACGATGCGATGTGAAATTGTGTTTGTTTCTGGCGGTGCACGTGTACGTGCCTTGATCGGCGTTGCGTTGCACGGTATCGATGAACAGGGTGCCGTTGGCGACTCTTTGTCTCATGTTCGTAGGCAGTTTTACGTCCCCTGATAACATATAAGCGTAACAGCCACCACATACAATTATAAACAGCGCCGCGCGCGAGCGGCTTCTCTCTCTTCTCTCTAGCGTTCGAGAATATATTCCAGATATGTTCGATAATAACGCAACGTGTGTTTTCCGACGTGGAAATATTTCGCGTGTTTCCCGATACACGCGCACGTATCGTCATCCCATCCCCCTCCCCCTTAATCGCGCGAGTTAATTTCCCGAAGGTAAACAGATAAGACGCGAGTTCGCGCGCGATATCGCCGCGAATAATTCGTTTGTTTCGAGTATAAATAAAGATTAATCGATGTGCGAAAGGTCGACGTTGTTTTTTTTTTTTTATTTTTTTATTTTTTTTATTTTGAACGCGACTTTCGACCGGCCACAATGGAGAAACATTGAATACGAACGCGCGCGCGAGACTCACCCTCGCGCCCGTGGGGGATTTAACAGAAATGACGCACGGTGCTTACCTTTCTCCCACACTATCGATTCAATGGGATAACCGGCTACAGGACACTTGATATATAGCTGCTTTCCCGCGACCGCTGAAACGGGCGACATCGGTCTGACGTATGGCAGTCCTGAGATTAGAAAGCAGTAAAGGTCGTTACACCGAACGGCACAGAGTTATAAATTTCGCGGGAAATTTAGTCTCTCTATCTCACCGGGGGTTTTGGGAAACCGCGGAAAATAGAAAACCCGCCGCGTTTTGATCAATTTTCTACCCGCGTATTCCCTCGAGGCAAAAATGTGCGAAACAATTAAGTTATAAAATATGTTGCTCTTCGTAATTAATTAAAAGCGGGATCTTTGATTAATTTTTGCTTGAATTGTCGAATTTCACGGTGCGAGAAATCTGTCTCTCGCGTTAACGACGAAACGCTTAAAATATTATTATTACCTCGGACAAGGAAAATTGTGAAGACTCAAAATTTCACCACTTTCACGTGCGGCGCGGCGGGGTCTTCACATAATTACGGAAAACAATATTTGACGTGGGCTGACACGGTCCTGACTTCACCGCGCTGACTCACCGTAAATATTAAGCCTCGCCGAGTGTCTCGCCTCGCCGGCGCGGCTGCTGGCGATGCACTCGTACTCGCCGCCGTCTTCTGGCTTCACCGCCGAGATATTAACGTGCGATATTACGTCCCCGTACACGGTTACGTATTGGCCAATCAGGAGCCGGTCGTTTTGTGGAAGCGGAAATCCATCCAGCAGCCAGGAAATTTGCGGCGTGGGATTACCCGCGGCGCTGCATTTCAGAGAAACCGATGGACCGGGTTGCATTGTCTGTTCGATAAACCTGTAGACCAGCTGCGGCGCGATCTCTGTTAACAGACATAACGGGGTGAGATTACGCGCATCTCTCTTTCTCTCTTCCTCTCACCACCAGCCAAGTTTTCCCAAATGCCCCTTTGCGCGGATGTCGTCATACCTCTCCCCGTCCCGCCTCGCTCTGACGGCGATATCTACTCGAACCCCGCTCTATCGCATCTCGATTTCCCGTGGTTTTTTTTATTACCCCCTTTTATATCCCGTATGTCCGCACGCAAATCGATTGTCAGACCTTGTGAAAGAGAATCATGTGAGTTTAAGTTCGTGACCTGACGATACTTTTTTCTCTCTATCTTTTCTCTCTCTCTCTCTCTCTCTCTCTCTCTCTCTCTCGTTCTTTCTCTCATCCCTTTTCCATTCCGTCGATTCTCTCGTCGGAACCATTTAAAAATAAGCTAAATGAAAAACTATGTCAATTGCCGGCAATATCTCGTCGAAGTTATTTAAAAATCGGTGAATGAGGAACACAGCGAACTCTCGACAACATCGCGAATGCAGTATCTCGTTGACGGAAGTTTAAACAAAAAATGAAAAACGGCAATATTGCTAAGCGATTTACTAGCGTAAACAATTATGTCGCAATATATATATTTTGTTTCGGAATATTCTACCAGAAAGAGCGTGTGTAACTAATCACAATCAATTCTCTCGATATTAAATGTTACCACTTTTATCTCGATGCTGATTGAACGTTTCTAGGATGTGTTTCTCGATTCATGTTCTACATATCAAGACGCACGGTAGTGCCTCGCGCCGTTTGAGCGCGACTTCATTGCCTCTTATACGCAAAATTTATGCAATTGAGAAGTGAGGAGATTTTCATGGAGCAATATCTTAAAAACGACTGAACCGATTGCTTTCGTTTTAGTCTAAATTGCTTCAAAACAAAAACACTAAAAAACAAAAGTATTTTTGCGTTTTTTGAAGCCACGTGACAGAGAGAAGAGAAAAAACAGCACGTAACTAAGTATATATATTATATATAATATAAATAATATATGTGTAATATAATATATATACTAAAATATTATATATAATATTATATACTATATATTATAATTTATTATATATGTAATATTATACTTTATATTGTATTGTATGTATATTATATATATACTACACACGGTAAGGTCACTGACCTTGATCACGTGACTACAGCGAGATCACTGACCTCGGTCACGTAACTACAGTGAGATCGTATATAGTAGCTGTCATCGCGGTGACAGGTTGTGTTCACTGACACAACATGTTATAAAATAAAAATAATAATAGCGTGCACGCAGCGCGCGCCTGTGTTGTGCTAGCAGAATACAAAAAGTAATTTAAAAGCTCGAGATAGTAGTCTCGAGCTTCTAAAATACGAGCGTGTTGATGAATTCGTGAACTTGGTCGTGGCGTGACGATATATCCGCGTTGTAACACAACACGTCACTTCGGCGAAAGTTTTCGTATTAATCCGCGAAGAGGATTTTCCTTCGTCGCCGCCTTCGAGCGTTATCGATATTGATGAATATTTACGATAAGAACAAGATTTCAATCCGGGGGCACATTCCTTCCCCACCATCCCTCCTTTTTCTCGCGCAACTTGCTCTGATTTGCATCTGTGAAGTGCCGCGGAGAAAAGAAGATGCGGGTGACGAAAAAAAAAGGAAAACAGAGATGCGACTTGTGTTTTTAGCGCGAATTATCGCGAACACGGTTCAAAACCATCGCGTCGCCGCAGCGAGCGAACATCCGGAACGCTCGCCGCTCATTTCGCGCGTATATAATTAAAAGACTTCCCCATTAGTAAATTAACAATTAGGCCCGGGGTTAATTATTCTGTTCCGCGCGCACGGCGCGGCAACGCGAATCTTACGCGTCGCGCGTTTCTTAACGTCGCGTAAATTAGCGCTCAATCTCGCGGGCGCTTAAAAAAAAAAAAACAAAAACAAAAACAAAACGCGCGCGCGCAATACAATACATCTCGGTGACGTATATTGCAAAAACGCCAACTCCGGTTAATAAATAAAGACCGAATGAAATTCAGCGAATAAACCAACTCCTCAGTTTCCCCGGTGGTTAAAGCGCAAATTCACTCGTCCGGGATGTATACAATGGACGAGCTCAATGTGTGTAACGGAAACAAAATATCAATCAATTTGTACTCGCGATAAACGCGATCGAATATAATGCGATATCGCCAATTTATTACATATAGATAGAATTCTGCAAATTACGTCGTCTCTCATGTACGCCTGTGTTTGACAAGCGGTCCGGCGGTACTTATATCATATTGCGCGCGCGCACACTCACACACACACACATACACATACACACTGTCTCTGCGAAATATAAATTCAATGTTTAAAACGCAGAAAAAAAAATTTGTCCGAGATGTGTACACAAGCACGTAGCGCGCGTAGCTAAAGAAGATTAATATAATTCTCGCTCGCATTCTAACTAATATTAATTGGTCGCGCGCGTGGGCGTTTTGTTTTCTCGAAATTTCAGGAAATAACTTGCAGCGCACCGACGGAAACGCGACAAGCTCCTCCTCTCCTCTCCTTCCCTCCCTTCTTTCCTTCCTCCCGTGAAAGTCATATTTGCACGAAACTCGCCGACTGAAATCGCATTTCGGAGATTATAAAAGCTCCGCTGAATGCAAAATGCCAAAGAGAGGATCCGTTTTGGAGAGGGGAGCAAAACGATGTTGGTTCGATGCGTGATAAAACGCAATTTGCGAATATTAACGTGTCTACATTCTTCCGGCGGTTGCGTCACGTGATGCGAGGAAGATGAGAAACGGGTTTTACGTCGCAAGGTAAATTTCGTCCGACGGAAAACGGGAATCGCATTAAAACGCAAGATATCACGTTTGCGGTAATTCCGACCGGAGTCGAACCAACCACCGCGCGCCACGGTAAATTCGCAAATTCGTCGAGAGCTGCCTTATATCCATCCATCCATCCTTCCTTCCTCCCTTCCTCCCTCCTTCCCGTGCCGACCGGAGAGCTTTCATCTCTACGACGTATCTATGACGCATAATAAATAGACGTAGGAGCGTAGTCTCGCGTACAGCGAATCCGTGTCGCGTCGCCGTTGCCGTCGCCGCAGCGAAATCGCGCGCGGCCAGCATGCAAAGCATCGGCAAAACCGCAGGAATCTCGTTAGCGTATGCAAATCCGCCGTTGGTGGTGGTACGTACTAACTATCCTATCATGCTGCGGGCGATCCCTACCCCAACCTAATGTACACTCTATGCCCTACAGCTTAGAAATCATGGAGACGGGAAGAATCCTAATGACAAGGTAATAGGGCACCCGGCGCCCGAACTTGGACGACGTAAATTGCTAATTTTCTATCCCCCGTCGTCGTCATCGTTGTCGTTGTCGTCGTCGTAGCGTCACTACTACGAGAACGACACGAAGGCTTCGTTAACCGGATATGAATAGCGATTACGCGGACGTAGTGTTGACGCGCGATGCAGACGTCATAATTGTCGTGACGTTGTGTCACGGAGCGATATTAGAACGTTTTCCCGCGGAGGAAATTTTGCGACCGTGTGTCGCGAGATTACAGAACTCGTGTATATTTGAAAGACTCGGATAAAAATAAAAACAAACACAAAAACACAGAATAAGCGACATTTGACATTTTCTATTTTCAATATTTTTATGTTTTTCGCGGTACAAAAACTTTAGGAAAAAAACGCAAAGCGTTTTTTGACGTCTTGTACACATCAAAATTTTTACTCTCTGATAAAGTCCAAAATCTGACGTTTTAATATTAAAGTTTTTACAAGTAAATATATATATGTATATGTATATGTATATATATATATAAAGATACATTTTAAGATAAAATTGTTAAATATTTATGTTTTCACGCTTAATAAATTTTGACGTCAAGACTTTCGACTCGCGTCATTGTTTGTATCCCGTTTTTCAAACCCCCATCTCATTCAAGTTCGATCGCTTACTTTATATCGAATCGAATTTCTCAAGCGAAACAACGCGAATTGCGAAACGCGATACGCGTGTGCGATCGACGTTTTCGTTTGGAAAAAAAGGGGGAGGTGAAATTACTTGAGAGGAAGATCGGGGATAAGCGCCGAGTAAGGAAGGAAATAGTAATTTAACTCTCGCGGTATCTGAAGTCGAATCGTGGTGAAGGGAACAAACTACACGGCGGTGGTTCGAACCGGGCGCTGCCGCCGCTTCTGAACGCACTCGAGAACAGGCGAACGAAGTGGAGGGCTATAAGCGATTTTGAAAGAAAATCTAAAGTTCCAAAGGTCATAAAAGTTACCAAATGCCCGGCAATATAAAGGTTAACGGCCGCGTAAGTTCGTACGAACTTCGTGAAATGTACAAATCGCTCGTAAGAGAACGCGCGCGCGCGTTCGGCTCTCGCTTGCTCTCGCTTTGCCGGTGGCAATAACCGCCAGGAAGAAAATGGTATATAAAAATAAAAACGAGAAAAAAAGAGAGAGAGAAAGAGAGAGAGGGAGGGAGAACTTGCGAAATTACATTTCGGAATCTAATTGAAAATAATATTGCCTCACCGGTGCAAAATTACGTAAGATACACGTTGTATCGCTCGTTTATTGCCGCAAGTACCGACTTTTATACACATAAGAACGATTAACGATTAATGTGTTAAAGTTTATCGGAAAGTCTCTGGAGAAATCAATGGAGAGATCAATAAGCGCGAAACACACGGAGAGATACCGCGCTTTGAAAACGTGAGAAAAAAAAACTAAAAACGGAAAGCTTTTACATTCCGCAAAAAAATTTCACGAGAGAGAGAGGGAGAGAAAGAGAGAGAAATGAACCTTTTTTTTTTTTTTTTTTTTTCACCGTGAAACACCGCACTCTAAGTTAGTGGACGTATTCCGCGTGTCATATGTTACTCGTGTGCGGTCTGTCCGATACTTGGCCGCGACGTTATCGACAAAAACGTATCGTAAATCGCTTTTATTATATTCCGGAGCAAATTCGCGAGTCGTGCGGTTGTCCGTTCGGACATTGTTACAAGAGAGGAGAGGAGAGGAAACGTACGATGGAGGTCTCTCGTACCGAGAGAGCTTTGCGAAACGGGGGTAGCGCGCACAAACGAGGCCATTTTCGTGCAAAAATGGCACGTATCCCGCGGTGAAACGACCGGCCGATGGAAAATACGTTACGACGAGGGCGAGAACGGCGCTGCGCAAACAGGGTGAACCTGCTCTCCTTTTTTTTCGCGCAAACGCGTGTACAGTGAGTTACCCCGCGGCGTTAACCAACATTTTCGAACCGCGAGCAAACCAAGTTTCTGATCAAGTTCGACAAACACGCGATCCGCTCGCTCCAATTCTTTATTTCGTAATAAACGCGCCAAACTGCCTCTGTGTGTGTGTGTGTGTGTAGATTCGTTGAACGATCGTTGAATGAAGAACCGCGTTCCAGATTTCGTTGCGATCGGCAACGTCGCGAGATTAACGCATTAACGATTTATCGCTTCCTTTAAAAAAAAAAAAATATAATGTTTTATTAAAAGGAAAAAAACTAATAAAAAATGTAATTTCAACTAACAAAATGTGATTCGTGCGATTTTCTGAAAGATAAGAATCTCGCGATTGTGTGTATCTCGGTTGGAATATCGAATTTGGAAACGATTGTCTCCCCCGAAAACGATAATGCGATCGGCACACAATCGTTACCGCCGGCTAACGAAATTCAAGCGGAGTTAATCGAAACCCGAGACCGCCCGCGATCGGCGTTCCGCAAATGGGAGCACGCTCCGCGGAGCACAATCGGAAGAGCGATGAGGGCACTTTACCGCAAAAATGGCACGTAGCCTGCAGGCAAGTCGTGCCGCCTTCTGATGGAAAATGCGTTACGATAGAACGGCACGCGAACCCCGCCGGAATGGATCGTATGCGAGAAAAGTTCCACCGCATTAAACCGACGGCGAGCCATCGCGCTGGCCGGGGGTTGGGAGGGGTGAAGAGGGCGGAGGCATTCCGCTCGACAAACAAGCGGTTCTCTTTCAACCGGGTTCGACAGGTAGTTACAACACACACACTACATACACGTAAATACTTCCTGCAATTAAGCTGCAACTACTCGCGTACCCTGAGCAATAATTACGGTAATTCAGTCTCAAGATCGACGTTTGAACTTCCCTCAATTGCTTCCAATGTCAATTACGTACGGTAGGTGTCATTCCGTGTGAATTACGGCAAAAAGCGATTTTGTTTTGAAAGTAGGTCCTTTCGATGTTCTTCGATGAATCGAGGCGGAATACGAAGTAAACGTCCGGACATTAGTTAAAGAAACACAAAATTGCAATGAAAAGGTATTTATACACATGTAAGTTTTACAGACACGCTACTGATTAAAAAACTTCAACAAAATTCAAAACATCGAGAATTAATATTTACGCAACCGATAATTATCTTTCTTTAAATAAATATCCGGCTCATTGGAACATTTACCTAAGCTTGATGAGAAAAACCGTTTCTCGAAATCGTTCGTATTTGCAATGGCATTTTTTGTTAATTTAATATATTTTCGTGCGATTTTAATTTGCTTTAAATTGAAGAAATTTTGCTGAGCGAAATTAACTGATTGTTAATTTTGTAAACATTCTCGTTGTAATTCTCTTCTTTTTTGCTTGTTATTAAAATAAAAAATTCGCAAGTTAACTTTTTGGTGACGCTTGCCTCGGCGTTACGCATTACCGCTTTTACGAGACGATCTTAAAATTTCCTTGCTTTGCCCGCGGGTTTCTGAAAAGATGTTAAGCCACATATCGCAGTATTACACTCTATATATATGTACACGTATATATATATATATATATATACTTGTGTATATATATATTGTATATATATATACATATATATATATATATATATATAAAAGTGTGTGTCTGTGCATGCAACAAAATGCTTACCCCCTAAGCGCAACTCCGCAATTCCTTGTGCCATTTCGTACTCGTTCCGCACGAAGCACTGGTACATGCCGCGGTCCTCTCTCGCGACCGACGTCACGGAAATGCGCTCGCTAGAGACGGTCCTTACGCGAGCACCCGTTCTCAATGGCTGACCGTCCTTCAGCCAATAGTGCGCCGCCTGCGGAAATCCACTTGCGGTGCACGTCTGGAAAAGGGAGTTTAGACGGAAGGAACTGATGAGAATCAAGAAAAAGAAGAAGAAAGAAAAGAGATAGAAAGGGGAAACCCAAGAGAGAGAGAGAGAGAGGGAGAAAGAGGGAGTGAGCGGAAACGAGAGAAACCCGCGCGCGGCGTTTTCTTCCCCCGAGAGAAAAATCAGAGATCTCTATATTCCCCGGAAAAAGTATACTCGACTCTCCCTCTCTCGAACCGCGACCAGTATTAATTTCCGGCACGTACAAATTCATTTCCCGCGTCATCGGCAGCGCTTTGTGGCTATTTACGAACGGAATGAAATCAAAACAACACCCCTCGTGCCTCGAGATAAATATATTTAAAAAAAACAAACAAACAAAACTGAGATATTCGACACGCGAATTATCTGTCGGTTGTTTGCGATTTTTGCATTTTCAAATGCACAAAACGCGCGTTAAAAAAAAAAAGTGAGAATACTCCGAGCGCTATCTTGTGTCTTGTCGTTTATTTTCCGCGCGTAAAATGGTGCTCGTGCTTCCCGATCGCGTATTGCGATTCGTTCCTCCGCGAGATTACGCGAGGGACTTTTTTTCATATCGAATATAGTAATCGGCGATTACAACGATTTACTTTACCAGATAAGCGGATTTTCCGAGATCGACGGTCTGTATCGCCGGATGTACGTGCACGCTAAGCGGCGCCGACACCGTCAATCTGATCTCCAGTGTCTCGCTGCCCTCGGAATTGCTGGCGGTGCACATGTAAGAGCCGGCGTCGGTCTCTTCGACGTTCTGGATGATCAAAGTGCCGTCCCGCATCACGTAATGACCGGACGAATCCTCGATCGGCTCCTCCCGCTGATTTCTGTTGTAGTACCACCTGCGAAACGCGCCAACAACAATCCGCGAATTAAATCATCTTTCTGTATCGCGCGCAAAAGAATAAGAAAAAGTTTCGGACAGCGAAGAAAGGAAAGAACGAACTCGCTGGGTTCTTGTTGTCATTCGACGAAACTTGTTTTTTGAAGAAAAAAAAAACATCTTTGGCAGGCCCGGCAAGGTTTCTTTTTCTCCGCTCTCCGCGTAGTAACTAATCTTCCTCCTATTTCTGGAAAAAAAATTTTTTTCCGCGTGCCATAGCGTGCTTCGCGCGTTTTAATATTTGATTTCTGAAGGACCGTCATTACCGGGTCGTGTCGTCGCGAGAAAACGCGCGCAGAGACATTCGAAAACCTACCTACCGCGTGCGCTCGCATTGTGTTTCGCGACTCCCACTTCACATATGTGTATGTGTGTGTGTGTCCCCGGCAATGTGTATGCAAATTACCATTTCCCGCGCGCTCGTCAAAGGCAACGACGTTATTATAGTAGTTGCCTAACCGTCGGGGATCTCCCTCGAAAACGTCCGCGTACGTATGATATAAGCGTACGTGCGCGCGTATTATACGTACGTATGTCTGGCCGAGAGACCCGTTCGTATCTCTACCGCTGCACTACACACAACGGTGCTTATACCACAAAATAACTATTGTTTCATCGGAAAGACCGAATGCATTTTCCCCCGACCTCTGCTATTGTTATGTCGTGTGTGTGTATGTGTGTGTGTGCGCGCGCGGACTCTCGTCGTTTCTCTGCTACTTGTGTTCACAGATTCGTGTCATGCACACACACACATACACACACACTGGCACACATCGCCGGCCGCGGCGAGATACGCTTGGCACGCTTTCAAAACGTTCACTTTTCAAGAACATGCATTTTAATGATAACTGCCGCGCGATTATTCAAACAGCAGCATTCGCGTATGACGAATACCATTAAAACTGCATAACAAACACGTTTACGAAATCTCACGGAGATCTTCCCGCGCCACCTTACAATTGGCTCCCACCCGTCGTTTCTCTCTTTTCTCTCTCTCTCTCTTTCTGTGATGGAGAACGCGCGAAACCGACGCAAAGCGCGCGCGACCGGCGCGCATTGCAAGTAGCGAAACTCAATCGCGAGTCGGTCTCCCACGGCAAATTCCACGAGAAACGAGATCGCGCATAACTTCGCGGGCTTTTCGTGTCCGTCTTAATTGAAAATTCAAAGCGTTCGGTTGTCTCGATTTCAGAGCTCCTCTCATCGGGAGGGGGGAGGATAATCCGATCGATCTTTGGTGAGCACGCGCGACCTTTGACCCTATCGGTTGGCCGCAACGCCACCGAAACGCTCCCTCTCCTCCTTCCTTTCTACCTCCTCCTCACCCCACACACATCAGCGCAAGAACGCGCATCAGAAATCTCTCTCTTTCTCGATGACGACGACGACGACGACGACTGACGATCCATCCAACCATCAAGCAAGATACACATACGAGCGCGCAAAATGTGTACGTTATTTAAAATTTAAAACACTCGATCGATCGACCTCACTTGGCGCGTCGCGTGTATTACAGAGCTTATCAAATATATGTACGCGTATAAAAGGAAGCTCCGAGATGTTTCAGAGATAAAAATTCCAACGAGAATTTTCTTTTCCTCGTCTTATCAAACTTCTGTCGATACGTACGTGATTGCCGCCGCGACGTGGAGAAATCGCTGATGAAAATTTCAAGCTCCCGCCGCCGCCGCAGCCGCCATTTCTGCGATTCGAATGTGGCTCGCGTCACACACACACACACACACACACAAACGTCGCCGGGCAGCTTTTAACGAACTCGCGCATATGTATATATTTGTGCAGTCGGATTGCCATGAATTTGTAACGCGACTCAGATATATTTCGAACATGCGAGCTGTTCCAATTAAACCGTATTAGTCTTAAAAATACGGCTGCTCTTTATTAACATATGAAACTAGTTTATTTCACAAGCGCCCCCGTCTCAACAAGCTGCCGAAATCGATTTAGCAGTTTGTGATGTAAAGAAAAATAAAGCTGCCACAATTAGCGATGCTCTTTACGAGACACAAAAAAATTGTGCGTGAGGGGGGGGGGAAGAGACGAAAAAAAAAAAACGGAGGGAGAAATAAATCTCTATTTAATGATGCGCGACACATCGCATTTATTTCGAAAAGTTTCGTTCGAAGCTCAAACCAGATTCGGCCTCCGAATTTTTTTTTTTTTGCTTTTTTTAAAATTAAACGAGATTGATAAGTGTGCGAAGCCAAATGTCGCGAGATGAATTTATACTTTTTTTTTTTTTTTTTTAGATTATCGCCGACATCCTTCCGAATCGATTACCCTCTTGGTGGAAATACCCTTATCTCCCCGCGGGAAGTTTATCGAGACCGAATGGAGCCAGTTCATCTTTTCGTCGATTGCTCGTAACGCGCCATTAGCCCCGGCATATCGTCTCTCCCGCGCGAGTAGCAAATAACGCGACTGTGTTCGATCTCTTTCTCGCGTGATCGGCCCCACGTGGCTTCGAAAATCCGCTTGGTACACTGCAGCATATAAGAGGCGAGGGAAGGAGGACTCTTGCTTACTCCGCATTCGAAGTGAAGATGTAGAAGTACGACAACGAGACGACGACGACGACGACGACGACGACGACGAGAAGGAGGCCGAAGAGAGTCGGTGCGGCGATGGCGTCGTCAGAGCACGGCAGAAGTGGAGCCACGGGGATGAGGAGTATACCTATAGATAATCGAATTTACGGAGGGAAATTGGTGAGGGAAGGAGACGGGATATGGGGATGCTCTCGAGTGCGAGAGAACTCGGAGAGATGGAAGTCTCTGCGCGAACCCTCAAACTCTCTCTCTTTCCTTTTCTCTCTGTGTGTCTCCTCTCTCTCTTCTCGTCTACGTCTTCCCCATCTTCGTGTACTCTCGTCTGCTCCTTCATTCTCCTATATTCTCCTCTTCTCTGTCTCTCTCTCTCTCTCTTCCTTCTTCTCTCATTCCTGTCCCTCTATCTTCTCCGGCCTCTCTCGCGGCTCTCTTCCGTCGACTAAATCAACCCCCGCGTAAGAGACGACTAGAGAGAGCCGAGCTCGGTTGGAAGAAGAGCCGTGCGACCAGGAGAAGGATGAGTAGTGGCTCGGAGAGGGGAGGACGGGAACAGAGGGAGCGGGGAACGAGCGGTTGATGAACACAAGCACGGAATACTCAGTGACGTCGACGTATACGTAAATGCGGAATATTTGATGGGCTGTCAGAAGCAGTCTCTGTAATCAGCGGTCGGTTTGTTTGCGCTACCCATACAGCCCTCTCGCCGACGTCTATATATCTTCCGGCTATCTTCGTTCATCCCTCTGGCTGCTGGTGCCGTCGTCGCACGCACACACCCGCGAGTCTCCGGGAGCCGCGAATCCGCACACACACGCGCGAGCGAACGAATGAGCGAGCGAGCGAGCGCGCGCGTGCGCGTACCTAACCGTATACGCGAGTCAAACCGCAGCATCGCAGCTCTATCCGCACCGATTCTACAAATTTTACGTGCGTGCGATCAAAGTACCGTCGATATGTTCTGACGGCGACGTTTGAAATTTTCATTTCGCGTTACTGACGAAGAGAGACGAAGTAAAAAAAAGAAAAAAAAATTCTCTATTTCGATGGAAACGCGCGCGGATATGTATATAACCGCTATTCTTCATCGATCGCGGTATAATCTCTCGCGTACGATGCCTTTTCATCCGTTTTCATGCGAAACTATTCTAAAGTGTATCTCGGGTCTCACGCGCGCGGGCGCGGGCGCGCGCGCGCGCGCACACACACGCCGTGTGTTCGACGCAAGTTTGATTACCGCGCGATCCTCTATACGGCGCTCCGCGGCATCAATGATGGAACCAAACTAGTTGCTAATCGCGTAATCCACTCTAATAACACCGCTTCTCCCCCTACCACGCAACAAGTTTCGCACAGCCACTCGTCGCTTCTACGACGCGTTGAGAGCGCGTTTTGCACGTAAGTTTGCGCGATGTTACATCTCCTCTATATCCCGGTGGTGTGTAGTGTCTCTCGTCGGGAGTTATATCCTTGTTTCTCTTCTTTCGTAGATAAATATTGTACATCGCGGAACGGGAAAACAAAAGGAGATGATCCACTTCCTAGTGGAGGAAGAGAGAGAGAGAGAGAGAGAGAAAAGAGAAAAGGAGAGAGAAAGAACCGGTCGTTAACGTATAATATTTAATACACATGGGGAGAGAGCTTGCGCGGAAACAAAGATGTAACGGTTTTCTTGTTCGTTTTCCTTGTCTATCTTTCTTCCTCTTTACACGTCGTGCTCTAACATAAATCCGCGTGTCGATGAACTCTCGGACGCGTTTCTCCCGCGCGACAAAATATTCCGGTGCGGATCTATGTTTAAAATTAGCATTAATATAAGGAAAACACAGAGAAGAGAGGGAGAGAAAGAGAGAGAGAGAAAGCGTACATTTATTAAGGAGAGAGAAAGAGAGAGAAAGAGAGAAAGACACCGCGCGGCTAGCGTACGTCTAGTAGCAACGTGGATAAGTATCGTCCATATGTTTTGTGTCTGTTTGCACAAAGATTCCAATTTCCTCGTCGCGGCTGTCGGGCGTAGCAGTTTCAACGCTCGACGCGTAAAACACTGTTAAATCGCACGCGTTTGATTCCCGCTGCACGTCAACGTGCACGTGCGTGCGTGTTATTTTATATAATGAGTTCTTATCTTTTATCTCTCAAACATACACACACGTACGTGCGCGCGCGCGCGCATGTGTATAGAATACTGCTGCTTTTGATTTTATAACGAACGCAGAACTCATTATATAAATTTCCGTGTAGTTAACTATATTTTCTTTTCAGATCCCTTCTATCTCTCGGGCGGTTTGTAAGAGCAACAAAAAATTTTTGTTACATTTAATAAAAATTAACGAAAAAAAAAAAAGAAAAAAAATAAATAAAAGGTAAAGAGAAATTTTTCCGCGTCATGGTTCTGTATTCCGCGGAAAGGAAAGAAAAAACGCGGGCACAATGGGACGGTCCGTTTAAAAGCGCCAGACAGAGCGCTCTGTGATTTTTCGCTCGTTCGTTTATACTTTATACGTTTCATGCGCGCATGAAATCGGGAAACACAGGAAACTGAAATTTCGGTCGGCGCGCCCGCGTCCTAATATTGGATCGTCAATATTTATCGTGTACGTTGCGGTCACTCTTCGTTATTAGCTGCCATTCACACTGAGCTGTCGCCGCGCTGAGTGTGCGCGAAATTCGACCGCTATTCCGTAGTAGGTAACGCGCGTGCTAAAATTCCCTTCCCGTCTTGCTGTAATCTCCGACATTGCGCTTTAATTCATGCGCGCTCGTTTCCGTACTTGACATCAAGAGTCACGACGACTCACGCTCGCGCGAGCGAATTCTAACGTCGGATTTTCTAATGTCTAACTAAACGATCCAAATAGGCGCTTCGAAGCAAGCGGGTTAAAGCTTGATGAAAATTTTTTAATTTTACTAAACTTTTATATTCAAGTCATATATTTTAGATTTTTAAATTTACACAATAGTTTTTTTACGATATACTCTCTCTCTCTCTCTCTCTCTCTCTCTCTCTCTCTCTCTCTCTGTGAGCGCACATATTAATAACAATATTTACCATTAACCTGTATTCTATTTTTATATTTTACAGCGACGTAACAATTTATAAGAGTCCACAATGTGCGCTATCATTTTTTGCTATTTTTTGCAATTTGTTTTGTAGAGAAAAAAATTTTTGCACAGAGAGATTTTTATATAATATAGTAATAAAATATTTTTAGAATCCTATATTAAAAAACCTACATTTTGTTAGAGAAAAATAAGAGTTTGCGTGGAAAATTAATTTTGTTTTTCAAAAAAAAAAAAAAAAAAAAAACACGAATGGCGCTTTTTTTATCTCTTTTCGAAAAGAAGTAAGTTTTTTGATTCAAATTACCTAACGATATCGCCCCCTCCCCGGGTGCCACGCTTGGAAAATAAATGCGTGCTTACCCTTTAATCGCGCGCAGATGAAGCGCGAAGAAAGCACGCTAGAAAGCGTTGATTTAGGTAGCAAACGGATAACGTTGAAGGCAACGAGAAACTTGCGCGAGAGTACACGTCGATCGGAGAAAAAATTGCGCTTAAAGTCTAATAATAAACGTTTCACAGCAATTAAGCAATAATAGGCGATGTCCGTGCCCGCGATAAGCGGAACACAGTTCGCCAACGCGACGTTCAGATCCGCGTGTATCAGAGCGAGACTACGCGAGACATTACGAGCTATTAGATCCTATCGGAGCGACGCGAAGTTGTTTTTCGGCTATTTTCGGATATTTTCGAAATTTGTGGAGTTTTTTTGCGTGATAAACGAGATTATCGATTTTTCCAGAAAAGTTAGATCTCTTTTACTGTGTAATTAAAGCGATATTCGAATTTTCGCGAATTCTAACATCAATTATAAAAACAAATTTGTCGTAATTCGCATGGTTGAAAAAATTCTACCAGAAAAAGCGAGTGTAAATAATCACAGTCGATTCTCTCAATATTGATTGTTGCCACTTTTATCCCGACGTTGATTGGACGTTTCTCGGATGTGCTTCTCGATTCATGTTGTATAAATCAAGAAGCACGGTAGTGCTCGCGAAATTCATGCGATTGAGAAGTGAGATTTTCATAGAGCAATATCTCGAAAACGATCGAACCGATCACTTTTGTGTTTTAGTCTCAATCGCTTCAGAACAAAACACTAATAAAACAAAATATTTTTGCGTTTTTTAAAGTCACGTGACAGGGAGGAGAGGAAAAACACTACGTGATAAAGTAACGTGACTGTACTTTAGCCACGTGTTTTAAAAAATGTGACTAAAGTAAAGTCACGTGACAGGGAAGAGAAGAAAAACAACATGTGACTATACTTTAATCACATGTAGCTCTACAGAGTACACGTGCACGCGAGAACTACTATATATATATATATATATCTCGTTAAAAATATATTTTCTAATCAACTCAAGCTCAAGCTTGTCTAACGACTAAGTTCTTAATCTACGGGGTGTTTACGAACAAACGATTGACAATTCGTGAAAAAACTCACCTATTAGTCGGAGTGGGATTGGCATAGGCCACGCAGGGAATCACTACGGTGTCCTTCAGACGCGCCGACATGTACACTAGTTTCTCGTTTATTATAGGCGGCATGGTGCCACGGATTTCTGAAAGTACAGACACAAATGACGGACGAGTAAAGTGACTTATATAGCGTAAAGCCGAAGATTGAACGAACGACGGAATGCTATTTAGTCTCCGGCCCTCGTTCCGCTCCGATCGATTTCCGGAGCCAAGTTTGCTGTGCGCTACGTGGAAAATATGTTCATAAATTCTTACTGTCTGAGAGGGAGCCAGAGGACAAGGCAGAAGACCGAGAGTTTCGGAGACGACGACGACGACGACGAAGAGGAGCAGAGGAGAAGGGGAAAGAAGAAACTGAGATTGAGAGAAAGAAAGGAAAAAAACACACACGTGTATACACACACGATAACGCGCACGCAGAACTCGTTGCGTTTAATGGGAAGTTATGGTCGCAGATAACATCGCGTCGTCTTACGATATATATATACGACACCGCCATGAGAAGTCGAACGTCACGTTAGATAATGACGATATATATCGTCGCGCTTTGGCCGAGAATTTGAAATTACGTCACGCGCGTCACGGAAACTGTCGGAAAAATTACGTTCCGCTCGAACGACGCCGACGGCAACGTCTCTCCGCGGCAGACGTTGCTTTTACACGGTAAAAAAATTCGTTCCGTGAAAAGTTTCCGCGTTTTTTCTTCCTCTTCTTCTTCCTTTTTCAAAATCGAATCATCGGGGATATTAAAACGAGATTTTTGCAAACAACGTTACTCGTTATCGGGTGTGTGCGTCGCTGTATAATGTACAATTATGTTAAATAAATCAAATTTTGCTCCCTAATTATTACATTAATAAATCAAATTTCGTTCCCTGTGAACATTTTCGTTCTAGTTTCGTGTCAAACGTGTATAATTTTGCCCTCGCGCCCTCGCGTAATAATATATTCGCGCGAAAACTTTTCTCTTGCGAAAGATAAATTTACAATTAAAATCTAATCCGATCGAGTTGCGCGCGCGTTTGAGAACGGCAGAACGAGTGAAGAATGCGCTAATATAATGTTGATTATCACGTGCGCGCGTTATTCCATTCGTTCGATTACAAAAGTAGAGGGTTTTTTCTTTTTTATTTTAGTGCGCGCGCGCGCGCGTGGGCGAGCTGCGTTAAAATCGAGCCACTCAATCTATCCCGGTCGCATATCTGCGGTGGAAATGCAGCGTGGTTTATTGATTCGTCCATAGATACTCTCAAGTGCCCTTCTCTCGCCCGGCACGTGTGTTATTTCGCGATCAAATGATGTGTGGACAGCGGCGCATACGTGCTGTTACATTTAACGGGGAATTAATGCGCTGGATTACGGCGTCGAATAACTCTGCGCGTTCATATGTGCATGTGTGTGCGCGCGCGCGCGCGGGCACGCTCACCTCCCGCACGTCGCGACAAAAATATTTATCGTTTACGCGAGGTACGTGCACGTACTGTATACACACATAACCCTCCGTGTGCGCTTCATTTCGCGACATGATTAAAATTAATTGCGCGCGTCAATACCCGTCGAAACAATGACGCCCCCGCGTCAATCTCACTAGATCCAATATTGCGCTTATCGCTTTCATAAACACACAATTCTTACAAATTACGGAGTAATTATTTACACAAATTGTTGCGTCTCTCTTCCCCGTCCGTGTGTTCGCGACGGACCAATTTCGAAACCCGAAAAAAAAAAAAACTTCGCCGTTACAAAACGCGGACAAAAGAGCGCAATGCGCGTTTTGCGAAAAACCGAAATGGGAAATCGAGCGAAGTTATTCGAAGGAAATTGTTTAATTCAATTCACCGTCGATCCCCCGTATAGTCGAGATATACGCGAGATTTCCGTAACACCGGAGAACATCTGAATTTTTTAATGTCAAAGTTCGATTTCCTCTCTCCCCCCGACTTCCTCTCCCTCTAGGCGAAACCTACATACAAATTTCGACGTCCGTCGAAATTTCCAATAAATCAGACGAGGGCATAACGCGATGTCTGACTCGCGGGCGGCGCGTTTGTACCGTCACCCCCGCCCTCCCTCCGAACTCCACCGAGTGCCACATACGCACCGAAATTGTTTTACCGTGGCACTTGATACCGCGGCGCGATATTAGATTTCTTCCGCAATTGCGCATTAAACGTTAACTTTGCGCGCCGGTTCTGAATTCGCCACCTACTAGGATTTTACGCGCGGCAACTGATAATGCGCTGTCCGAAAAGTTTCCTCATTACCACGGAAAACTACTGTACGAGCGAGATTTTGGTTAATTCAGCATACGCGCAAGCGCCGCCGCCGAAATATGCAAACTATCGAATTTCCACCTCTCTCTCTCTCTCTCTCTCTCCCTTTTTCCTTCGCCCCGCGAACTTCATTATTAAGTTATTAACTTGCGTAAGTGCGCTTAGCATAAATTTCTATCTTACCAGCGGGAAACATCGCAACGGCGCAACTGCCCGCCGCCGCTGCCGCCGCCGCCGCCGCCGACGACGACGACGACGACGACAACGATACCCGGTTTTATTACGAGTGCACACCGAGAGCGAGCGCGTACGTTTCTGGAAAATTGAAACTCCTGAATTTTTTAACGTCCGCCGAGATATTCTTGCTCGGGCACGTCGAATCGGTTTTTCTTTCCTGATTATGCGGCGGCACACAAACCGGGCGCGCGATTCCTCTCGCGCAGCACCGCACGACATCGATATCTCGATGTTATATAAAACGCCTATTATTACAATTATTGTTATTATTATTGTTATTATTGTTATTGTTATTATTATTTTTGTTATTATTACTATTGTTATTATTACTATTGTTATTATCATTACCAATAATGCAGTTAAATCGTTTCATTTATTATGATTGTTATTACTACTGTGTTATGTATATGCGTATTCACATTACTGTGTTACATAAAATTAAATTATTTCATTAAGGATTATCAATATGACAATAATTATTGTTATAAATTTAAATGATTTCGTTTGTCGTAAAACTCGAAAATCATGGAGATCAGGAGGTTCCCCGAAACCTATTGAATTGAACGTTTAACCGAGTTTTTTCAAATTAATTGCCGCCACCACACATGCGCGTGTCGTTTTCCCGGTCGTTTGAGGCTGTGCTTTAGACAAATGTTTGTTCCGATTGTGTATGGCGCGCGCGAGCTCACTCGCGCTTTCAGAGCGAATATATCGTTTATTCGGCAACCCGTCAAATGATACACCAGGTAATTAACCCACGAGCGAATAATGGCGATAATTAATTGATGTTCGTTCCGAAATATTTGTGTGATTAGGAGAACACGAGTAGAACGAGGGCGCCTACGCGCGCGTATAGATTACAAACACGTGCACGCACTCCGGTTAAATTGTATCGTATTGCCGGAGAGCTAATTTCGAGTCCGGCAACGACTTGCGAGTGAGCGAGCAAGCGAGCGCGCGTGCGTGCTTGTTTAACGCGAATACGATGAAGTTTCGGCCAAAATTTACAATCATAATATTAATTAATCATTGTATTATTGCGCATTCCGCGTTTATCTATATAGAATAGTAATGCCGTGAATATATACGCGAAGAAGAAAAGGTTCCGCACACACGCGCAGAGAAAGAGAGAGAGAGAGAGAGAGAGAGAAAAAAATAGAGAAAGAGAGCGGCAACACGTGAAATCACAATGCGACGCGTTCACTCTGCTGGGGAAACTTTTAATAAGTCGCGCGTCTCGTCCAAAATTTGCGATATCACACAGAGAATTACCCACAGTTCTTTTTGAAGTTCCTCAACTCTTCTCCGCAGAGTTTTTTTCAAAAAAATCCCGAACGTCGTCCGGAGAGCAGTTCGGGAAAAAGACTTCCGCGCGGGATATGACAATATAACTGATATTATAAAAGGAAGAAGCACGGGCGATCAATATTCCATTGTGTACGCGCGCGCGCGCGCGTGCTACGCTCTCACTTTGAGCGCGCGCGGATGTTAAATGCGCGAAATTAATTTCAACCTCTAAATAAGCATAATAGACAGATAATATATTTACATAACAACTCCCGGGTGTTCGACGTTAACGTTCCCGAGGGGTGGCTCGATCGCGGGAAAAGTGAATAAAGGGCCGGTTTGCCTTTCTCTGCTTGCCTGCCCGCCGCGCGAATACGCGATTAAAGTTCCACTTAATTTCGAGCGCGATATGACGTTGCAAGGAGAGGAGAGAAACGTCATTAGTCAGACCGCTCTCGAGGGTAACTTCCCGGCCGCCCGCGCCCATCACCTTCGGTTCTGTCCTTTCCTTCTTTCGCGCGTTTATCCAGGAGGAGTCCTCTTGTAATTTAACACAACGCTATATAATACTGTCGCCACTTCTTTAGCCCTTATCTAATTAAACATCGACCGCGTTGTCGAAGAAATTCGTTCTCTCTCACTCTCTCTATATTTCTCTCCGAGTCGCTCTCCTCGGCAGTTAAACGTACTCTCCTGTACGTTTTTATCGTCATTCCTCCCTCGTGACCCTCGCGAGAGACGACCGGATCTTACGTTGACATGCGATAGGAGAACAAATTACGTAAGAGAGTGCAAAAAACGAGGGCGAAAATTAATAGTACACAGTCCGTTTGATGATGCCGCGATTCTTAATGACCGCCTCTCGGCCAGCCAGACATTAATTAATCGACAAAGACGATAAACACAGACAACTCGCGCGCAAATTACACTCTTTAGATATACGATATCTCTGATAAATAAATGAAAAACCAGACACGTCGGGCATTCGTTGCAAATGTTTGTTTCGAACGTTGAAAAAATGACTTTTCAATGACGGCAAATCGTAATTTCTCCGCAAATTTTTCATCTTTTCGTCGTGATCTCTCTCTCTCTCGTCACGTCTTTCGGTTGCTTTAACTCCGAACGAAAAAAATAGGAAGTATAATTGCCGCGGTATCGATCGAATCGAACGCTGGGTTAAAGTAAACATTTAATTAAACTCCACCGCACACGTTCGATACATGTTCTCGGGCTCGAGGCAGAACCGGAATTTATCGTTCGACAAGCGCACCGGGATATATCCGCGTTTTCTCGTCTATTTACGTTTTTGAAAAATTTAATAATTGCCAGAACCGAACATAGTCTTTGTGTGCGCGCGCGCGCGCGCACGCACGATAGATATACGCGAGCGATAGAACCCGATCCCATTTTCCGTACGTCAACGGATTAATCTCCGAGACCGGAGCTAGTTACCAATAACAAGGATAATGAGATCGCGCGTACTGCCGACTGATAATGAGAAGCTCAGACTTTCCCATTTCCTCACCGCGTTGTATTTTATTAACACAATTTCATCCGCCAGCCCGCAGGGAACGAACCGACTTTCCTTCAAGGAAACCTTCATCGAATCTCCATTGTTTTTGCGTTTAATTATATAGCGATAGAAAACGCGAGTTTTCGACAAACTAAGCTCCGGGCGAAAAATTGACTAAAAATATTGGATAATAAAATCCCGTTTGCGCGTGTGTATGCGCGTGTAAAGAACACACACGTGCATAGAATAAATCTTTAACAAAAACATTGATGTCAATTTTACTCGAATAATGTTCGACTTTTGATCCGAAGTAAATGCGCCATTTTGTAACGCAATTCCAAATACTGACGCAAACTGCGATAAATACCAATTAATTTCTCCGAGAAAATTTCTCGTGTGTAAAAAAACCAAAAAAAAAACAAACAAACAACTCGCAAGTTGGTCAAAGAATTTGCTCGAAAAACAACACAACATTCGCGGTAGAAGCGCAACGAGAAAAAAATCTAATTTCGCTACGTAATGTTAAATATTAACGTAAATCGCAATAAACGCCAATTATTTTCTCCGAGAATTTTCTGTGTAAAAAACAAATCTGCAAAAAAAACAATTCGCTTTGTGAAACAACGCGGCGAGTAGACACAATGAGAAAAATCTAGTTCGCGCAACGTTCTGAAATCAAAGTACCGATAAATTCTCCGAGAATTTTCTATAAAAAAAAAAAAAAAAAAAAACTCAAAAACAAAACATTGCTGCTAAGTTAATCAAAGAGTCAGCTTTGTCAAACAATAACGCGACTACGGAGACGCGCAATGAGAAAAATCTCGACGACGACGTGTACTCACCGTTCAGTTGCAACCGTCCGACGTTGCTGCTGACGACGGTTTCCTGAGTTAGCCGATGATGCGTCCTGCACCGATAAGTCATCTGTGCGTCGCTTCGCGTAATATTGATTATCATCAGTTCGCCGGTCGGCAGCATATGATATTTGCCATCTGTACCGTAACACACGTAACAAACACATACACATCACCGTACGCACACACATCAAGTTTGAATTACGCTTGTATCATCATGGAAATCTAAATTGATCGGAAGGAAATTACATGTTTATACGCGATCGTATAACATATATCGCTATATATATATATATATATGTATATATATATATATATATTTTATTTATATATTACGTATATATATGTATATACATATATGTATATTACGTGTACATATAACGTCGCGTAACACAATCCGTGTTTTCCAACAAGGTAACAGTACAATTAATTTACAATAATACCTGATAATTGTACGTTATGAAAAGGGAAATTCTACAATTTTAGAGCAATTTCGCGTATTCGAAACCACGCGGATTCGATAACGCTCGTTTTTATTATTACCAACGCAACGAAATCCGTGTTGTTTCTTTCTGTTCTTTTTTTTTTTTTCTTTACCACTTACCGCCCATTGTGGAGGGATAGATGTTGAATGCGGGTTCCTGTAGCCAGGACGTGACCGTGACGTGATCGCGAACGAAACTGGGCACGTTGCAGCGCATGAGCACGTTGTTGCCCGCGAAGCCGTTCGGACTCTGCACTTCCGGGTCGTAACGTTGATTCACCACTGCAAACGACGGAGGAGTTTCAGTTGCCAGCGAGAGTTTCGTGCAACGCGCGCGTCGCAATTGTGCAAGAACGCAACGAGAATGTTAAATTGGCGAGAACGGGGATTGAACGCGTGTGCGCGATTCGACGTATCGTTAACACATCGATAAGAAACAAAACGAGATAAGCTCGCCCCGGATTTTAAACACATTGCTTGTTAACGCTCCTAATTAGCGAGCTTTCGTAAATGCGAGAGCAATATACATGCGCGCGCGTCATACACGCATAATTTTATGCCTCTGTTTCAATTATACATAATGATCTGTTCAACGAGATGTTTGCGGGTAAACAGGCGTTACATTCACTAAGCACTGTAGAATTTACACAAGCATAAAATGATTTACAAATAGCCCTCGTTAATTTACTAGAAATTTAATGATGTTATCTCGCCGGAACAATAATATGTGCAAGAAACAAACAACAGGCTGGGAGAGCGCGTGCGAGAAACCGGAGAATCAATCGCCGTTCGCTTGCCGCTTCCCGTTCGCGCGCATTTTGTTCATAAATCTTTTCTTTCGCGGCAAAACAAAAGCACATTACATTTGTTTACGATTATAAATCGTTTTTATTGTCCGCATTTAAAGTGCCGCGATAACGGGACTTTTGTTGAAAACGAAGGCAACTTTTATGCGTAAGGAAAGAGAAGTATAGATTTTTCAAAAATTACATCGCGCGTCGCTCGCTCGCTTGCTCATTTCTCAGTATCGCTCATCAACGAGAAACAGCGTCTGATAAACGAACCCCGACGAAGGTGTACAATATGATCAGAGAGAGAGATTAGAAAATCCTCCCCAAAAAAAGACACGCTGTTTCTTATCCGAAATCTCTTTCCGTGTCGCGATCCGCCCCTGTCCCGGGTGAGCCCGCGTAAGTTGATGGGCTCGGCTGAAAGGTCGGGTAAGGGCATGTCTAAGAGGGGGATGGAATAAGGTTGTAAAGAACGTGGAAGGCAGTCAGGCAAGCCAGAGCCCGGGCAGAGTCTGAGGGAGAGAACGTGGAGGACGGAGCGGGCGGGGGAGGAGTAGAGCGCGAGGGTAGTAGCGCCAGCAGCAGCCAGGGAATCGCTGTGCTGCGGTGTGGTGTGCTGTTGGTTGTGCTCTGCCTCCGCAACCCGTTTCGAGAGTCAGCGGAGCGAGGCACTCAGACTTCAGAATGGGGTAAAAACTCACTGAGTTTGCCCGTACTCCATCCACCTCCTCGTGCTTGCCGTTCCCTTCGCACTGACGTTCTCTCTTTCTCTTTTTCTCTCTTTCTCTCTCTCTCTCTCTCTCTCTCTCTCTCTCTCTTTCACTCTGCCTTCCTCGTTATGTTTCCCTCGTCGACCGCCCCCTTTTCTCTCTTCTTCAGCGCGTATCGCTCGCTCGGCTCTCTCGGTTACGCGGCAACCAAGCCGAACATAAACTCGGCAGACGTCTCGTGGCAGGTAATATTTACAAACCATGAAACGAGCAGAGAGGAGAGCAGATACAGAGAAAAGAAGACACGGAAACGCGCATGAGAGAAAGAGAGAGAGAGAGAGAGAGAGGGGGGGAGGGAGAAGGATCAAAAAACCGAGACAGAAAGACGCGGCGCGCAAAAACGACTCGCTCTCCATCAGAGCGCGCCATATTCATCCCTCTCCAAGAGTCATCTGCTAGAAACGAGTAGCTTGTCCGAAAACCACGGTTTTTCGACAGGATTTTATGCAAAAGTCCCGAAGAATATCTTTCTCTCTTTCTCTCTCTCTTTCTCTCTATCATCGTCTTTCTCTCTCTCTCTCTCTCTCTCTTTCTCTCTATCATCGTCTTTCTCTTTCTCTTTCTCTCTTCCGCGCGCGAGCTGACATGATTACCAGCAACGACGAATCCATGAAACACGACGATGAGTGCGCGACGTTTTAGGGTCGAGAGTGCGGACGAAATTATCGGATGTGCACGCGTGTGCCTTCGCGCGTGTATATTTCGAGTACGCGAGGAACGTAATAAACTCGGGTGAAAAAAAACGACGAAATTGCACGTGAGATATTTCAAATATACACCGCAGTTCTTTTTTGTTTTTAAAAAATCATATTGGATTGAAATTCGCACTCGATTCGCAGAAAATAAATTCGGATGTAAGGAGCAAGCAAGTTCGCGCGCGAAATTGTTGAAATACGACCAGCGTCGCTCCGAGTTATCTTTGGGCGATAAGCCGCCAAGTCGAAAGAGAGAGAGAGAGAGAGAGATACGCCACGAGGTGGAAAACGTGACCGTCGCGTCGTGAAAGTGAGCGACGCGCCGCGCGGTTTCTGCAGTTTTTATAAAAGAGCCTCCCGCGCGCACGCGGTCGTTAAACCTCCTCATTTTCTCGGCGTAAGACGTGCCGCGCGCGGTGTATGTATGCGCGCGACGTAATGTCGCCCCCGCACTGGCTTCGGGGCGAGCAAACAAAGAACAGCGAACCACCGAATCTCCTCGAGACGAACTAAATAACGAGCGAGCGCGGCGAATTCAGCTCGATGAATTGAAAGTACGCGCGCGACGATTCGTTATTCGTCCACCGCTCGTCGTTCGACTACTACTCGGCGGACGTGCAAACGAACACAACGTCATCGTATAAATAAATAAAAAATAGCGCACTCCGCGCAAACGACAAGCTGAAATGCGCTTCCGTGGTATTATGCCTCGTTTTTTTTTTTTTTTTTTTTTTTGCGTCGTTTATCTTCATCTCATTTGAGACAATCAATGACGCGGCATGTCGAGAAACGACGACGGAGCTAATGGCTCGTTTGCATCATATAATTTCGCGGATAAATACTGAATGACGGGTGAGTTGCTCTCTCCCTTCGAGCGAGAGAGGCGTTTCAGTTTCCTACGTCCGACTTGTCGGAATAACAAGCAACGCGATATGTGTGTTGTCGATAAAATTTTTTACTTTACAAATAATTGAGAGCTTCTCGAAAAAGAAACGCATATAATTTTTTTTTTTTTTGGTTTTTTCTTTTTTGAGAATATCAAGTTGTTTTTATAGAAACGAAGTTGTGTGTATAACAAATGAGTAACATATTTTTGCTCATTCAACTCGTATTTATACTCGCGTATTTTGCGTGTGCAATATATTGCGTATATATTAAAAAACTATATATATACATTAAAAAAAACATCTATTGTAATGTAAGGCAACCCTAAGTCTCCGTGTATTTCTTTTTCGATGGCTGTGCGCGACAGAGAATAACAAAAAAACAAAAACCAAAAAAAAACAAAAAACAAAAAAGAAACAAAAAAATCTGTCACTCTCTCTTTCTCTCTCGCCAAGACAACGCGCCCGAGAGATTGCGCACGCAATCATATCCAGTTTGTCTTCGAGAAACAGGGCGTGTGCGCGACCGAAGGATTTTTCTCGAAAGACGGAAGGAAAGAGCCGCCGAGGCGCTGAGAGAGAGAAAGAGAGAGAGAGAGAGAGATAAAAGGAGAATGTAAGCGGATGAAGGAAAAGACCAGGATGAAACTCCGTGAAGAAGAGATGAGCAAAAAGAAAATGGCCGAGGAGAGCGGGCGACTAGGAGCTGACGCGGCAGAGGTACCAGGCATGAATCTGAAAAGGTATGGGCTGCGTTCACGCGACGATGATTTACGGGCCGTATTAGGTCGATAAGATATCTTCCGGTTCGTTGACCCGGCGGAAGCTTTATTTTTAAGACGCCCAGCAGCCTCCACTTTTGCTCCATTTATCCGTACCCCGCGCTTCTTTCTGCACCGTCTTCTACTTCGATACTTTGCGATGGTGGTACGTCCGTACCTTCGGAAAGGTATCGACATCGCGAGCAAAAAGAATCAACGTATCTCGAGCCGTTAACGCGATTTCTGCGACTTTGCAAGCACCGAGACCGGAATCCGGAAACTCTATAGCGTTCTAGCGTTCTTGGGTCGTACGTTTAAATTTTTCGTCGTCCAGACGGAGAACGATAATAAATATTAAAAAGATTTTTAAAAATAAAGTTTTAAATAGACCGGATGCAATTATACACGTCAATCCAACAAGCATTGAACTCTCGCCGCACGACGCAATTAATTTATTACAGTCTCGATCCGGTCATATCTTTTACATTTTCTTGTAATTAAAAGAAGAGGATCATAGAAGATGCTGAAATCTGAGATCTCGAGACACGTTACTGAATTTTTCACATTTCATCATTTTTTTTTATCTCGTTTCTTTAATAGATAAAACTCCTTCCTCCCCACTAACGAGAAAGGTCACAAAAATAACATTCGTCTTTCTCTTCTCCACGACCTATTCGTTTTTCTTCTCGCGCGTACACCAAAAACCTCCCGCGGTTTTGACACTTGATTAACAATCGGAGGCAAAATCTCCGTTTATCTATTTCTGACCGCGACACACGTGGGGCACGCGGGAAGAAAATTTCTTTCCAAAACGAGCAAACTCAGACGAGATCGAATCCGTGAGGTTGCGCGGATAGACGCGCGCGCGCGCGCACGCGCTGGTGGTCGAGGTTGTCTATTCGTTGCGAAGAGACTTTTCGTATATATATATATATATGTATATATATGTATATATACGTGTGCGGATATACAACCACCACGGCCACTATCACGACGAGGTGAGGAAGCAAACCGCAGGGTTGCAGATAACGAGCGGGCGTGTGAGAGAAGTTTCGCTTCGGGCTTGACGTTACCTGCTCTGACAGTGACGTCCCTGCTAACGACCGCGCCGACGCTGTTGACGGCCAAGCACTTGTATATCGCCCAATGGACGTCCTGCCGGAAGGCCTCCGCCTCGAAGGCGGGAAAGTGTATCGTTCCGTTACCCAGGACGTGCCTGATGCCGTGGATGCTCATTATACTGCCACCGTCAGCCGCCAGCCAGTCGACCGTCGGCTGGGGGTTGCCGCGCACGATGCAGTCCACCCGGCCGCCGTTCACATTTGTGAACTCCACTCGCGACGGCGGTTCCGTCACGAAACTCGGGCCCTGCGTCTCGTACGACGCGTCCGAGGAACCTGCGCACACACACAACGAAAGACATCAGATATGTATAGCGAGGGAAAAGAGGGAGAAAGCCTCTTAAAATGTATTCAATTAAGATTACGCGTCCCACCTTTGCCCCTTTCTCTCTCTCTCTCTCTCTCTCTCTCTTTCTGCTCTACTCTACTCTATACATATTTCTCGCGGATTTCATTCTCCTTTTCATTATTCATTGCGCGCATCGCGCGTCGTTTCCCGCGGGACGTCGTGTAACTTTAAACACCTGAAAATGTCCATCGACCGTTTTCGCGAATTTTCCCTCGGAATTCGCGTCTCTCGCCGAGTCTTTTCCTCGGCCGTATCGGAAGAGATATCGCCCCGGCGTATTATTTCGTAATTCTAACGCGCCATAAATTCACCGAGTATTACGCGAAACAAACAATCAGAAACGCATTAATCACGCGCGCGGCCCCGTCAACGAATGGACACTCTCTCGGCGGTGAATTTTTCGCCGGCGCGCCGATCGAATGCGAAGTAATTTTTCCCCCGAGGAAGGGGCGCGCGATGTGCGTCGGCGGCTGTGCGGAATACGCGCACTGTATCGTCGACGGACATGAACGAAGATAATACGCCCGGCCATAAATCATACATTTAACGCTCTGAAATTCGGCCGTAATAGCTTCCATAAATGGAGCGCATTGCGTCCACCCCCTTGGCCGCGCGCGCCGCCGAAGCCTGTTAACCATTCATCACCCGAGTTATGTTGATTTAAGTAGGAATGCCGGCCCGGTTCCCGATGTATTCTGCATTCCGTCCAGCATTGCTCATCTGGAAGCCGGTTCCAACTACCCGCTGCCCCTTTAACCCTCCCTCCCTCCCCTCCGAGTACAGAATATCCTCTCGCGAAACGTGCAACGAATGACGTGCCCGCTCGTCGCGTGTTTCCACCGTGTGTGTTTTTCTCGCTTGAAATCGCAGTCAAAGATCTCATCGGTTTCGTGATCGCGATTCTGCGAAAACCGCGGACAAAACGCAAACTCGAAACGTGCAAGATATCGCGCGCGATTGCGCGTTTGAGTTGTAAATAAATAAAAAATAAAAAATCCTGAATAAGTAATATTGTTACTTGCGGCAGTGCGAGAAAAGAAACGCGATGCGAAGAGGTTTATACCGGTATGACGGAGACCGCGCGTTGCAGACGCCGTTGCAGGCGCGGATCCAAGGAACTCTCGGTAACCGAAAGAAAACGAGCGAGCTGAGAGTTATTTTGGCGGAATCGCCAATGAGCACTTTCGTTCGCAATTCCCATCCACCTTGCAGCAGCCTGGCGCGGAGCGCTTAAATCTTGATTACTTATCTTCCATAAGCTAAAGCTACGTTCCCGGTAACCGGGGGATTTCCCACACCAACGCGCGAACGTCGCCTCTCGGACGTGCACGTTCGAAGCCGGAAAGTTATCGTTTTCTCGAAAAAGAAAATCGTGGACTCCCACCCATAAAAGCTGTAGTACCCGGCGAAGATTTACTTCCTGCTTTACTCTCGTCTCTTCATTCCTTCTCTATTTCCCTCTCACTCTCTCTCTCTCTCTCTCTCTCTCTCTCTCTCTCTCTCTCTCTCTCTTACCCTTTTCGCTTGATCTCGCTCTCTTCCCAAAGCCGACGGAGTTTCGAATCTTAACGCCGGAGTGTGCACTCCTCCATCGCCGGAATGGCCGGTGCGCGCTGCAGACTTGCGATTGGATATATCTTGCGACCTACATTCGCCAGGAGTAGCGCGCCGCGTAATCATTTCCCCCGCGGAAGGAAGGAAGGAAGGAAGGAATAGGCGACCCAATGTAAAAAGTTAATCCTCATCTTCCTCGCAGAAGTTCCAGCACAGCTTATAATTCCATCGTCGTAGATCCTCCGCCCGTCTCCCTTTTTCCCCTCGTCTGACACGTCGATTTGGCTCTTCACTCTACCTAGAGACTCCCCCGAATTGATACGTGTATCAAAAACGCGATCTATCGTCTTCTTCTCGAACTTCGAATTTTGAGTTGAAATCGAATAATACAAACGTAACGCGAGCGCGCAAACATCAGCAACGAAAGATCAATTATGCGAATTTTCATCCCAATGCTCTATCAAACTTCGTGACACGTGTATCTCTAATAACGAACGAACGCGTTATATGTATGTGTGTGTTTGATTGCGTGAAAAATGAAACGAACGTAAGCGAGCCGGAGGATTAGCTGCCACATCGGATGTGCTCGAAATAGATTGGCTCGTCGAAATAGCCAAACAATAGACGGCGAGTGGAGGGGACGCGTAGAGCTAAGGGTTGCATCTACTCTGGCACGTACTCGACTGCGCACCCTCTTTGGATGCACTCGGTGGGGTCCGAACTGTAGATAGAGAGCGAGAGAGAGAGAGAGAGAGAGAGAGAGAGGAAGTGAGGAAGATGGAAAGCATGTGCGATCGCCACGCCGGCTGTCGCAGGCGATACGCCCTGAGTACTGTACCTACCACTACTATGAAACTCGCGTCAACCCTCGACGTCATCACGAGCGCGGGGGATACCGCCGAAGACGCGCACTTGTGCTTCTTAGCCGACAGCCGGCTGAAGAGACGAGGGCGCGGCGGCGACCAGCCGTATGATGTTTTGTGTCAACATCCTTCGGGAATTTAGTTCTTTAAGGGCGCGTCGAGTGTCCGCTTTTGTTCACGTTCCATCTGGACTATCTCTCTCGATGCTCTTTTGTAAAGCAAGCCCGATATTATTGTCGACGAATGGCGGTTTTTTTGTTTTTATGTCTCGCGGGAATTTATCTTCAGTAAATTGCGCGAGACCGAATCGTGCGAGAATTAAAATGAAAATTTTGTGAAAAAAAGAAAATAAAACGAATTTTTAATACACTTACGTGTATTGTCGCATATGTCGCGGTAAATAACATTTTAAATCCTCAGAGACTCTTATCTTTTTCCAAATAAATAAAGTATCGAGAAATTTTCCTCTCTTTTGAGCGCGTTTAGGTTTGACGAACGGTGAATTTCATTCAACAACCAACGTTTTCCGATGACTAACGCAAAAAATATCGCTTAGCTCACGGAAGCTTTTCCGTCCGCCATTCTTCGGGAATTTTTCGAAAAGTCAGCGCGGGTAATGATGGCGTCGAATAAAGTAGCCGACATCGCTGACTAATTGCCGATGAGCGTAAGGGAGGAGTGAGCTCTTGGAGAGAGCGGCGCGCGCGCACAAAGAGCGGAAGCGCGCCGTCGAACGGAGCAGTCGTCTCTGCTGCGGAATCAACGGTTCATTCAGCGGACGTGCACAATTCTTTCCGGGTGTGGCGATGAGAGAAAGGACCGCGGGGGAGAAAAACAAAAAGAAAAGTTAAGTCTGAAATCTACGCGCGAAAAACGCGCCCGTTGGATGCGTCGAGAGGGAAAGAGCAAAGCGAAACGAACGGATGATGGGGAGGTATATAGACGACGGGTACAGGAAGGGAATCATGAAAAGAGAAGGGGGGAGGGAGAAGGGAAACGCGAAGAAGAGGAAAATGAGGAGACCGGTCTGTGGTTTGTCCGACAATGCAAACCGGCTTTCTCATATCACTCTGTATTGTTTCCATTGTTCCGGTGCGGTTTACGCGTATGCCCGCCCGCGGAGAAGGAGTAGTTGTTAGTCATTACTCCGGGTGCGGAGAAGTCAGAACTCGTGAGAGAGAGAATTGGGGAAAGGGGAGAAAGGGAGAGAGATAGGGTTTATCTGCCTCTTCTCGCGCGCCGATCGTCATCGCGCGCGATTCTCCCGTCCCGCGGGCATAACGAGTAATTTCCGTCGACGATGACGTTCAGAAAAACAAAACGAGCACTCGCATATCCCCCGCAAAAAGAAAAAAGAAAATGCTCCCGGATTCCTAACGCATTACGTCGCGATTGATGCGCGCGTCTCGTCGGGAGCGATAAAAGAATCGCGCGGTGCTTTCATTTCAGTGTGCCGGCATTTATTTTTTTTGAGAGAGAAATAAAAGAGCGCGTTATGTTTGTGAAAAATTGTATTTTTTTTCACCAAGTAATATGTATATTAAATCAAACGCGTATTATTATCAATCGGAATATGCTTCGCAATTTTGTTTTTTATTTTTTTATTTTTTTATTTTTTTTTTATATCGCGTCGAATCGGATCACATGGCGTCAAGCAATTGGCTGATAAATCGGCGTGCGCACGTCTACGTGAAATATCGTTCTGAAGGAATTTCAATCGTCAGTGGAATTACTGAAATGTAAAATGGATAAATGTGCGCGAAAAACCGGTTGATACCAAACTGATATTGCGTAGTATAGTCCTTCTCCGTAACGCGGCGCGAGCCAGCTTCCACAGAAAACCTCGATAAAATACGGGGATAAAGTTACAAAATATTTCGGACTACATTGCAATTTGATTAATTAAAATTTAAACGCGCGCGTCCGTGAAAGAAATTTTATCAAACAATTAAAATAATATTACATAAAAATTAATATAGCACATCTGTGTCAGAAAAAAAAAATGTATACTCGGATATCGCGAAAACTTAAATTAAACAAAGTGCGAGTCGTCGCGACACTAAAAGAAAGAAATTGAGAGAAACAATAACGATTCTCTCTTGGAATACGGTTGAACTTCGCGCGCGCGCGAAACGATTATAATCCCGTGTAAATCCACGTTCCGTTTTGCGCATTCCTGATACCTTAGATGCGAGATAATGTACTAGAGATTTAATCTCCTTAACAATCTCTTCCCTCTAAATCCGATCCAGTCTTCCGCGCGGGATTATTAATCGAAAGTTCTCCGCTTCTCTCCGACCGCATCGATCCTTTCCGAGGCCTTTGAACTTGCGATCTCTCTCTCTCTCTCTCTCTCTCTCTCTCTCTCTCTCTCTCTTTCTTTCTCTCTCTCTCTTTTTCTTTCTCTTTCTCTTTCCCTCTATCTATCTATCGATCTATCTCTCTTTTTCTCTCTCGGCGCGCTTTTACGATTTTATTCGGATTAACGCTTTAACTTCGATACCGAACTC